TTAGGAGATTGTACACCCAACAGCCAATCACTTATCAAAATCACTGCCGCCGTCGCTATTCCTGTCAACCTTGTAACAGAAGGAAGGCACCCACATCCAAACAGTAAGCCTCTGCGCCCAAGGCAGCCACCACTGATCCTGGACCTAGAGTGTTGGTGGTTCTGGCGCTGATGGCTAGTCCATCAGCACCATGGCTACTCATGATGCTGATCCAGGGCAAACTTCCTGTCAGCCTTGTAACAGAAGGAAGATGCCCCATCCCTACAGTAAGCCTCTGCACCCAGGGCAGCCAACCCTCCCGGCCACCCCTGATCCTGGACCTAGAGTGTAACCAACACCACTCTAGGTCCAGGATCAGGAGTGGTTGCCCTGGGGACAAAGGCTTCCTGTAGGCATGGAGGAGTCTTCCTTCTGTTACAAGGCTGACAGGAATAGTTTCCCCCCGGATCAGCATCATGAGTTGCCATAGTGCTGATGGGCCAGCCGGGGTGAGGACACCACGGGATCGAGGGACAGGTAAGTGGCTGTATTTTAAAAGTTAGCAGCTAGTTTTTGTAGCTGCTGACTTTTTTGTTCAGGTGGAACTCCACTTTAAGTATGCTAGATCACATAGTTTATACACCCAGTGCAGTAAACTGCTAGGGATGCCTGTCATTTCAACTCCAGCTCCAGGATTCTCTCCTCCTCCGTGATCTGTATATATCAGAATTAATGACACGAGCCAGAAAATATTGTGCGCATTTCAGTTTATTTAGAAAACAAGGATAAACAAGCATTCCCTGTACCTTCACATTATAAAAGAGTTTCCTCCAGAAAGCTCCACCATCTCCATCAGAAGACCACTGAAGAGCAAAAGGGGCCCCCCCACCCATAGCTTGATTTGGAGGGGCCCCCTTCATGAACACTCCCCATTCCCCAGTGATCAGAATAAAACAGAGAAGAGTGAAGTATTAAAAAGGACAACCAGCGACTGATTTCTACGAACATGCAGACACGGATCCGTCTACATCAAGGACCGCTAAATATCCACATCTTCATTTAAAAACAAGGTGGATCCGGTCGGCTGAAGGGAACTGGCCGATTCTCATTGGTTGCTCCCAGACTTACACTAACTATGCTGTGACCAAGTAGGATACTGAGATGGTTTACCCAAATTGGGGCAAGTGTAAAAAACACTGACCGAAATACATGACAAGGAAGATTGGATGTCAACCGCCATTAAGGAATTGTAAATGTGCAAAAAGTACTCATACCGTTACAACAGGCCAACAAAGTACATTGACTCAACAACCAATGATAGTGACATTGAGGGTCCTACCACCAGTATCAGGGTCCTACCATCAGTATCAGGGTCCTACCACCAGTATCAAAGAGATACATGAAAAGCACACTTTGAATAAAATGTTTTGAAAATCGAATGAAAGGGATTTTCGGATTCTCCATGACCAGGGGAACGATGACTGGCTAATGCTATTCACTTCATGAACTGATTGGGACTGAGTTAGGAAGCCGATCAGAGATAGTTCGGGACCCCATGTCCTATTTCCAGGGGTCTGTCCTCAGAAGCTGGGATCGATGGCAGATTTGTGCTATATACAATTATGATGTTGATAGGGGATAGACTAGGAAACCTTTATCCCTTAACTCTGGAGTGTTCTGTCCTTATGATCGGGGAATGAAGACAGGCTAGTACTGTACTGTTTTAGAAAATTATTGGGGATAAAGTCAGGAAGTCTATCAAGGAGAAGATTGGGGACAGCGTTAGGAGAGCTGAAGAGAGAGGGAGCTAGGGACCTCTGGTCTTATTTCCAGAAAAGCTGATCAGGGACCAAGTCAGAAAGCCGATCGGGACAGAGTTAGGAAACCGAACAGGGAGGGAGCTAGGGACCTCTGGTCTTATTTCCAGAAAAGCTGATCAGGGACCAAGTCAGAAAGTCGATCGGGACAGAGTTAGGAAACCGAACAGGGAGGGAGCTAGGGACCTCTGGTCTTATTTCCAGAAAAGCCAATCAGGGACCGATTGGAACAGAGTTCGGAAGCTGAAGAGGAAGGGAGCTAAGGGACCTCTGGTCTTATTTAGAAAGCTGATCGGGACAGAGTTAGGAAACCGAACAGGGAGGGAACTAGGGACCTTTGGTCTTAGTTCAAGAAAAGCCAATCAGGGACCGATTGGGACAGAGTTAGGAAGCTGGAGAGGGAGCTAGGGACCTCTGGTCTTATTTCCAGAAAAGCAGATCAGGGAGACCAAGTCAGGAAGCTGATCAGGGACCGATTGGAACAGAGTTAGGAAGCTGAAGAGGGAGGGAGCTAGGGACCTCTGGTCTTATTTCCTGAAAAGCTGATCAGGGACCAAGTCAGAAAGCCGATCGGGGCAGATTTAGGAAACCGAAAAGGGAGGGAGCTAGGGACCTTTGGTCTTAGTTCAAGAAAAGCCGATCAGGGACCGATTGGGACAGTTGGGAAGTTGGAGAGGGAGCTAGGGACCTCTGGTCTTATTTCCTGAAAAGCTGATCAGGGACCGAGTCAGAAAGCCGATCGGGACAGAGTTAGGAAACCGAACAGGGAGGGAGCTAGGTACTTTTAGTCTTGGTTCAAGAAAAGCCGATCAGGGACCGAGTTGGAAAGCTGATTGGGGACCGATTGGGACAGAGTTAGAAAGCTTAAGAGGGAAGGAGCTAGGGACTGAGTCCGAAAGCCGATCAGGACAGAGTTAGGAAGCTGAAGAGGTGGGGAGCTAGGGACCTCTGGTCTTATTTCCAGAAAAGCCAATCAGGGAGACCGAGCCGTGAAGCTGGTCAGGGACAGAGTTATAAAGCTGAACAAGAAGGGAGCTAAGGACCTCTGTTTTATTTGCAGCAGAGCCGATCGGGGACAGAGCTGGGAAGCAGAAAAGGGAGGGAGCTAGGGACCTCTGTCTTATTTCCAGAAAAGGCGATCGGGGACAGACCCGGGACGACTCATGGAGAAAGATCCGGGAAGCCAATCGGGGACAGAGTTAGAAGACCCACTGTGGGCAGAGTCCGGAAGATTATCTGGGAAAGAGAAGCAATGCTGGCCAGGGGCAGTTCAGAAACTGAATGGAGACCAAGTTAGAAAGATGATCTGGGACAGAGTTGGGGACCTCCACCTCCTATTTTCCATGTGTTCAGTCCCTATGATTGAGGAATGATGGCGGTCTGGTGCTACAAGCTTCAATAAATTATTGGGGTCAGAAGTAGGAAGCTGATTGTGGACATAGAGGTCCCCAACTATCTCTTAATTCCACCATGACCCATTCCCATGAATGGAAATGATCGGGGACAGTCAAGATGTTGATTGGGAACAGAGTAAAGAACCTTTACCCTTTATTTCCAGTGTTATGTCCTTGTGAATGGGTTCAGAAGTAGGGCAGTCACCCTCTTGTAAAGACCCTTTATTTCCAGTGATATGTCCTTGTGAATGGGTTCAGAAGTAGGGCAGTCACCCTCTTGTAAAGAACCTTTACCCTTTATTTCCAGTGTTATGTCCTTGTGAATGGGTTCAGAAGTAGGGCAGTCACCCTCTTGTAAAGAACCTTTACCCTTTATTTCCAGTGATATGTCCTTGAGAATGGGTTCAGAAGTAGGGCAGTCACCCTCTTGTAAAGAACCTTTACCTTTTATTTCCAGTGTTCTGTCCCTATGATCGGGGGAAGTCAGGTTAGTAATGAACACTTCATGACAGGGGCAGACTGACCATTTGGAAACTCGGGCACTGCCTGAGGGCCCGGGGTCAGTAGGGAGGGCCCCATGAGATGCCCCTGGTACCTTTTTCATAGGCTTTTTGAGTTTGGGCAAGGACACAGGGGCCCCATGATCCCCTATTGCCCGGGGGCCCCATGAGTTGTCAGTCCGCCCCTGCTTCATGAGATTATCAGGGACAGAGTTAGAAAGCTGATTGTGGGCAGAGTTTGGGACCTCTTTCTTATTTCCAGGGTTTTCTGTTCCTACGATTGAGGAACAATGACAGATTTGTGCTCTACACTTCATGAAATGATCAGGGACAGAGTTCGGGAGCTGACCAGGGGGACAAGGTTACAGACCTTTATCTCATTTCCAGACTGTTCTGTCACTATGATTGGAGAAAGATGACATGCTAGTGCTATACGCTTCGTGAAATGATCAGGAACATCAGAGGCTGAACGGGGACAGAGTTGGGGACCTCCATCTCTTATTTGAGTGTTCTGTCCTTATGATTGGAGAAAGAGGACAAGCTAGTGCTAGATCCTTCATGAGAGGATTGGGGACAGAGTTGGGAAGCTGATCAAGGACAGAGTTATGGTGTTGATTGTGGACCGAGTAAGAGACCTTTCTCTCATTTCTGAAATGTTGGGTCCCTATAAAACTGGAGACAAGAATGTCCCTCTCATATCTCCAGTGTTCTGTCGCTTTGAACAGGGACAGAATTAGGAACATGTTTTTTCTGGAGTGTTCTGTCCCTATATCAATCATTCTCAGTATGTGGGCTTTGTATTCTGAGAGTCTGGTTACACAATTGTATACATTTGTCTTTTTTGAAAGATTTTCTAACCATTCCATGACTGCTTTTCCACCCCCTTGTGCTTCTGGAATCATTTCCTTTAAATTCTAATACCGGTTATAGACTTGTCATCCCCACCTCTTTATAAGCTTTGCTATTGCAATCATCATTTATTAAAAGGTCAAAGCCATTTTGGAGTGTCAGGTGAGTGTCCCATAATGAAGTCAGACTAAGTCACAGCACAGCGAATATAACTACCAAATGGGGAAGCTGCCAAGCTCTTCCCACCAGCCAGACCATAAGCCCCACAACCCATGTAGACAGCAGCAGCACTAAGCATTGAATGCGTTATGGGGTGAATGGAGTTGGGAGGTTGAGTAGTGCATCTAGTTTGGGAATGCTACAAAGTCCAGAAGTTGGTCAAGAGCTGGAGGCTTCTCTTTGGTTCTTTTCCCTGGAGTGCAGTCTCAGAGGTCCACATTGGGTGCAACCATTCCGGGGCATCAATACTTCCCCAGGACCGTGGCCAGTAGCGCCATACGTACGAACATACCATTCTCAGCCTGGCGGAAGTAGGCGGCGCGAGGATCCGAATCTACTTCAAAGCTGAAGGAGGAAAAAAACAAAGAAAAAAAACCCAAAACCACAATCAGTATAATGGAATGAAACAATCGGTAATGCAAGGAATTGTTAAAAATTTTTTCAATTCACTACAGATATTTAATCCCATAATTACTGTTACAAGACCCAATTCAAGAACAAGTTCATATACATTTTTTTTTTCCACACACTTAACCCCACCCCAGAGTCGCTAACCCCTGCGCCGCACTCAACCCCACTCCAGAGTCGCTACCCCTGCGCCGCACTCAACCCTACCCCAGAGTCGCTAACCCCTGCTTCGCACTCAACCCTACCCCAGAGTCCCTAACCCCTGCGCCGCACTCAACCCCACCCCAGAGTCGCTAACCCCTGCACCGCACTCAACCCCTACCCCAGAGTTGCTAACCCCTACACCGCACTCAACCCCACCCCAGAGTTGCTAACCCATGTAGTGCACTCAATCCCACCCCAGAGTTCCTAACCCTTCCACCGCACTCAACCCCACCCCAGAGTCATTAACCCCTCCACCACACTCAACCCCACCCCAGAGTTCCTAACCCCTCCACCACACTCAACCCTACCCCCCGAGTTCCAAACCCCTCCACCACACCCAAGCCCACCCCTGATTTTCTAACCGCTCCACCTCACGCTCCAATTCCTATAATACTTCCTCCACACTCAAATACTCTCCAGTACCCATAGCCACTCTCATGCCATCTCCAGCTCCTGTTTCCCCCACCACTCCACCAAAGCTTACTCCCTAGCTTCCACTACCTCTCTTCAGACTCACGCTCAACATCCAGATCCTGTCATCCACCATCCTAAAGAGTTTGTCTCCTCTGAACCAGGAAAAGTAATATTGCTTCCCCTCAGCACCAGGAACACCATTTTTGCTTCACAATTGCACAAGGGGAGGGCAATAGAATTGGTGTTTTAATATGACAAGGCAGCCTACAGGGGCCAGATACCTCATCCACCCATTTCCCAACTTCAAAAATTCTCTCTATATCGCTCTCAAAATGTCCTTAATATGCATCAAGATATTTGAACCAAAGAGCCTACATTTCACCACAAAGATGTTCTTTTGAGCACCACAGCCTGCAGAAGGTTAGCTGAGTCTACCGCAGAGCGTTCTAAAGTCACATGATGGAGGATGTAGTAGCAAGACCCGTATCTCACCTGATCTCATTAACTCGTGGCATTGGGTGCATGACCACCATCTTCTTCTTGGCCCGGGTCATGATGTGTGGGGTGAGGATAAACTGGCCAAAGCACTGGAAGAGAGAAAAAAGGAGTCAACTGACAAGACTGGGCAACAAAACCAACTCCCAGATATCAGGGAGGATATAAAGGGTCAACTCACCCGGTCATACTCCTCCTTGCTGTCAAACCGTTCTTTCTGTATGCGGGTCATGTAGAGGACATCCGTGTCTGGCAGAGCCTCCTCAATGCTGTCAAACTCTTCCTATGACCACAAAAGAAAAGACAAAATGTCTTAATTCAACCAACACTGTGGGGCTTCCTCCCGATATTGTGTGGTCCCTTCCAAGCCCATCCAGACTGCTCAGGCTCCCAGGAGCCCAACACAACGGGCTCCTTTCTCAAGCCCCTCCCAACACACTAGGCTTCTTCCCTGTCCCCTCCCAACACCCCACAATCCTAGCATCACAATTCCCCTCCCAACACCCAATGCTCCCTTTTGGGTACTCCCAACACCCCAAGCACCATCTCCGACCCCTCACCTGTTTGATTCCTTTGGAAGCCACAAAGTGGATGATCTTAGAGGGCATCCTCAAGCTGCGTGGTGTGACATACCTCAGGTTAACACGGTATTGGGTGAGGAGGCAGGCCAAAGAATGAACCGTACGGCCGTGCTTCAGATCCCCAACCATGGTGATCTGAGGGAAAAAACAACATTACTAAAAATTGTACGACACTTCCATCCTGTGTGCGCCATACACAGCAAGAATAGGACAGCCCGTGAAGACAACAAAGAAGGTTCATATCTCAATATACTGAGCTCCGGATCATTACAAACTTCAATGGAAAGGATTGATAAGATTCCACCTTAATCATATTCAAATCTCTGAGTAAATGTTAAAAATTCCTGAACACTGAAGTGTCCCCAATAGCCACCATGCTGTACCAGGGCCCATGAACTATGAACCCTATAAAAGTGTATACAATTACCCTAAAGAAACACGTTTAATCAATTCCTAATCTCACTCAGGTTGAGAAATCATTATTGGCCAAAATTTCAATCCCGGGCAGGAGGTTTGCTCAACCAACCACACAGACCATGTATGAGGTCCTATCTGAACTGATACAAACTGCAATGCTCCAGCAGACCCTCATACATAGTGGCAAAACCTAAATGATTGCACAACCGAAATGTGTATTGCCAAATTAAATTTAAATACAGGAATTTCCAGAGATTAGGACTGTTATTATGAATGGGAATGTGTGGGGCACCTACGCTACCCTACCACCCTATGTACAAGGAGAACCAGTGGGCTGTGCCTGACCTTGGTGCAACCAACACAAGATTCCTCTCCTTGATAACATGGTGTGGCTTCGGAAAGAGCGCAGAACGCAGGAAACCAACGCACCCAAAATGTAAGACACTCAACTCTTACGTTGTGTTAGCTCCTTGCTTGAATAGCAGACTAGCCATTCCTAGACTTTAGCAATCCTTTTTCTAGATCCTGCCCTGGGGTACACATGCCACCACCGTAAACATATCCTGGAGTACACATATTGCCCCTGTAAGCAAGATGATGACTTGGGATACACATATCGCTGCACTAGATCCTGTCTGGGATATACTTACCAACCCACTGCCTAGATCCTCCCTGAGGTACAGGTTACCCCATCACCTAGAATCTATTTTGGGGTACATGTATTGCCCTTCATCACCTAGCTCCTGTCTGGGATATACTTAACAACGCAGCACCTAGATCCTCCCTGGGGTACAGGTTACCCTATCACCTAGAATCTATTTTGGGGTACATGTATTGCCCTTCACCACCTAGATCCTGTCTGGGATATACTTACCAACCCACCGCCTAGATCCTCCCTGGGGTACAGGTTACTCCACCACCCTAGAATCTATTTTGGGGTACATGTATTGCCCTTCACCACCTAGATCCTGTCTGGGATATACTTACCAACCCACTGCCTAGATCCTCCCTGGGGTACAGGTTACCCCACCACCTAGAATCTATTTTGGGGTACATGTATTGCCCTTCACCACCTAGATCCTGTCTGGGATATACTTACCAACCCACTGCCTAGATCCTCCCTGGGGTACAGGTTACCCCACCACCTAGAATCTATTTTGGAGTACATGTATTGCCCTTCACCACCTAGATCCTGTCTGGGATATACTTACCAACCCACTGCCTAGATCCTCCCTGGGGTACAGGTTACCCCATCACCTAGAATCTCTTTTGGGTAGTGGTGCACTGAAATTAAAATTCTGGTGCAGAAACCGAAAATTCAAAATGCACTTGACCGAAACGTGCAGTTTTAAAAAATTAATATATTTTTTTTCTAAAAAAAATACACTGATAAAAAAAAATATATACCCCAATTTTTTGTACATTATGAAAGAGGCTGTTACGGCGAGTAAATAGATACCCAACATGTCATGCTTTAAAAATGTACACGCTCATGGAATGGGATCAAACTGCAGTACTTAAAAATCTCCATGGGTGGGGTTTTAAAAAGGTCTACAGGTTAGCAGTGTAAAGTTGCAGAGGTCTAGTACGAGAATTATTTCTCTTGCTCCGACGTTCGTGGTGATACCTCACGTGTGCGGTTTGAACACCGTTTAAGCATGTGGGCGTGGCCTATGTATGCATTCACCACTATGTGCGAGTACGGGAGGGACGGGGGCACATTGAACTTTTTTTTTATTTTTATTTCACTGTCCCTTTGAAAAAATGTTAAATCACGTTTATTCTTATCACAAGGAATGCATGCATCCCTTGTGATAGAAATAATTAGTGACAGGTCCTCTTTATGGAGAGATATGGGATCAATAAGACCCCCACATCTCTCCTCTGCAATGTAAAGCATTAGATGAAAAAAAGCATTGATCTATTGCTTTAACCACCTCCCGACCGGCCGCTGTATATAAACGGCCGGACGGTGGCAGGGCAGGGTCGGGTGGCCGTTTATAAACGGCCTCCCAGCACCCTGCTTGTGCGCGCTCCCTGGGAGCGCACAGCACCGGGATCCGGTGCCCGCTGTATCCTCCAGACACAGTGAAACACCGATCGTCGGACGGGACCTCTGTACGAGGTCCCGATCGTGTGATCACCGATTGGCCAATCAGTGATCACATGCAAAGTAGTAAGCAAGATGTCACTTGTGACATCATTGCTTACTACGTGTGAAATCTGTGAATGATCACAGAGGTCACATGGTACAAGGCTATGCACAACAGCCTTGTACCATGTGACAAGCTGTGACCAATCACAGCTCACTCAGTACTTCTCAATGACTGTAAGAATGCAGACAGAGAGAAGAGAAATGATTGCTTTTACATCCTATATGGGTGTAAAAGCAATCAGCGTAAAAAAAAAAAAAAATCTTCATCACCCCCCACAAGTAGTAGTGTCACCATGGTGACATTGTACTGCTAGGGTGACAGTATGTAAAAAAAAAAATAAAAATAAAAAAAAAAAAAAAATAAAATAAAAATGTAAAAAAAAAATGTTTAAAAATTATAATTTTTGGTTATAAACTAATTTGGATTTTTTTTTTTTTTTTTTATAAAAAGATAACGGAATACATTTTGGCCAAGATTTATGATGAAATATTATTTATTTGCAAAATTTTAATTAAAAAAAAAACTTTTTTTCAAACTTTTTGGACATTTTCATTTACATAGCAAAAAAAATAAAAATCCCATCGGTGAATAAATACCACCAAAATAAAGCTTTATCTGTCTCAAAAAAATGGTAAAAATTTATTTGGGTGTTGCATGACTGCGCAATTTTCATTCGAAGTGTGATAGCGCTGAAAGCTGAAAATTGCCCTGGTCAGGAAGGGGGTAAAAGTGTCCGGACAGGAAGTGGTTAAAAAAATAAATAAAATAAAAAAACTGCCGAAACCGGAATAAGTGACATTGCTCCGGTCCTCCAAGGGCATAGAGATGAGTGGAGGCCATCTTTCCTTCACTAATCTCTATACCCAGCACCGGGATCGTTCGATGGTTTCTTAGGTAAAGCTGAGAACTGCCGGGCGGGGGCGAGGGGTGGCAGCGGTGGAGGGGGGGGCTGCGGGGTTTTTTTTTTCGGCACCTGTATCAGTGCTTTTTTTTTTTTTTATCGGCCGAAAGGGGTGTTTTCTGACTAAATGTTACGGCCACCGAAATTTTGGGTACATGTATTTCCCTTCACCATCTAGATCCTGCCTGGGGATATACTTACCAACCCGCCACCTAGATCCTGCCTGGGGAACATGTTACCTCGCCACCTAGATCCTATTCTGTAGTGCACGTATTGTCCTCCACCATCTAGATCCTGTCTGGGGTACACATACTGCTCCCCACTATCCATAACCTCTTTGTGATACATACTGGCTTGGCCATCTAGATCCTTCGCTAGGGTACATGTAGCACCTCTGCCACCTAGATCCAGATACAGAGGACTTTCCACAAGTATAATTAAATCCTAAAATTGTCCCCATTGTTCATTAGTATGCAGATATTAAACATATATATTAGGGGAGGTGGTGTCACAGATCTCCCACCCCTCATGTTGTGTATACAGGGTGCAAAATGACCAGTGATATGCATATCTTCATTCAGGATTGGCAGAACTTACAGTCATCCCATTGACAGTCCCTAGCTCCTCCCGTATGGTGAATATATCCAGCAGTGCCTGTGTTGGGTGCTCCCCTACCCCATCTCCAGCATTTATGACCGGCTTGCGGCAGTGTTTGGCGGCCAGCTGGGGATCGAAGAGATATCACAGGATTATACATCAGATAACAGAAAGATACAAGAACAGTCATAGAATAAACGGCTCCTACCTCCACCGCTCCCGGCTCCGGGGTGTCTCACCACCAGAACGTCTGAGTAACAGCTCATCGTCTGCACAGAATCTGTCAAAGATTCGCCCTTCTGGGAGGATGATGTCGTCTCTGAGAAAGTGAGCACTGACCCTCCCAGACGCTGCATGGCTGCTGCAAAGGAACTGCTGGTCCGCGTACTGGCCTCGAAGAACATGGAGGCCATGACCTTACCCTGGGGACAAGAGGACGACAGGGATGAGAAGAACCCAACATTGCCCAAGCATGCCACAGGAAATGTGAAACAGCATAGACCGGCAGATATTTCATTAAAAAACCATCAACTACATTAATTATCCTAATGCTCCTGTTTACCCTAGTAACCTAGAAAAATAAAGGACCACTCATCCATGTGTGTCCTCCATGAGGCTTCTCACAGGCCGCCTTAGAGTCCTGGATGGGACTGTTGCAGCAGAACTCAAAAAGGGAACTGCACACGTTCCATGGCTGAGCTGGGAAGACTCCAAAGGATCTATAGTATTCAGCCGGTGACCAGGTCAGCAGTTGAAAATTCTGAACAAAGGTCAAAAAAGAAGAGAACCAAAACTCCCAGGAAGGACCTTGGCCCCCTGCGCTTTCATGCTAGGTAAAAAAATAAAGCCGCTTCTATAGCAGATGGTGGCTTAGCCACCAGCAGGAGACACTCCTGGGCTATCCTTTCTATATTTGTGCCTAGCCTCCTACTCCTGCAGATGGCACTATAACCAAATGGTGAAGGTCTCCCAAGGCCGGCCCAGGTCTCCCAAGGCCGGCCCAGGTCTCCCAAGGCCGGCCCAGGTCTCCCAAGGCCGGCCCAGGTCTCCCAAGGCCGGCCCAGGTCTCCCAAGGCCGGCCCAGGTCTCCCAGGTCTCCCAAGGCCGGCCCAGGTCTCCCAAGGCCGGCCCAGGTCTCCCAAGGCCGGCCCAGGTCTCCCAAGGCCGGCCCAGGTCTCCCAAGGCCGGCCCAGGTCTCCCAAGCCCGGCCCTGGTCTCCCAAGGCCGGCCCAGGTCTCCCAAGGCCGGCCCAGGTCTCCCAAGGCCGGCCCAGGTCTCCCAAGGCCGGCCCAGGTCTCCCAAGGCCGGCCCAGGTCTCCCAAGGCCGGCCCAGGTCTCCCAAGGCCGGCCCAGGTCTCCCAAGATCTTGACTTCGTGTTCAAACAGTGAGCAAAAGACATAACTGTCTAGCCTTCTCTTATATCTTGATATACACGTATATAGACACATAGACACCCCTAGACATTACCAAAATTATGTGGTCTTCTCTGTTGCAATTGACAGGCTGAATCATAATGCAATCTGATATCTGCTAAGAATGGTTCTCTAGGTGCAAAATCATGAACCAGTGTTACCTTCAATATATCGACGCTCCGCTCTTTCTGTACCAACATTCGCAGTGTGTGAGCCACGTTGAACAGGTGGGACATCTGGAGGAGATAGAAAATGGATGTCATTAGTACAATCTAATCCAGCATCTCATATTACATCTTCAGGAGTTGCCTGATGCTATCATATCCCATTATGGCACGTGTGGAATAAAACCCAAGCGGCAAAAGATATAGCTAGATCTGTGATCTTCAGACAACCAAGTTCAATGTCTTTTAGGGACATCTTTCACATGTGTAACCCATTGATATGGTGTTGGATGTGGTGTATTAAAATGGACATTAGATGATGGAGAACTGCGAGTCGGGGGCAATCACTCATGGCAGAACAACCGTCTGGAACTTGTATGCTGAACAGCAGGACTTCACTGGGGCGCAGAGCACCCAGGGGACTGCATTTCCCAGGGGAGGTAGCATGTGGGTGAGGACATATACACACATATACATACATATACACAAACAACACACACATATATATATATATATATATATAAATATATACATACCCACACACACACCTATGCACACACACATATACATACATACATACAGTGAAGGAAATAAGTGTTGTTCTTGTTCACAGACACTTATGCCAACGGTTACATTCACTACTTTAAATCTCATTGTTTAGCGCCTTAAAGGGGACCTTGCATCAGTTCACTACCTTATGAGGAGAAACATCATCTAAACCTTAGATTAGTGGTGCACCGAAATGAAAATTCTGGTGCCGAAACTGAAAATTCAAAGTGCACTTGGCCGAAAACCGAAACGTGCAGTTTTAAAAAATATATATTTTTTAGAAAAAAAATACACTGACCTAAAAAAAAAAAACAAAAAAAAAAACACAGCAATATATACCCCAATATTTTAGTAAAATATGAAAGCAGATGTTACGGCGAGTAAATAGATACCTAACATGTCACGCTTTAAAATTGAGCACACTCGTGGAATGCAAACTGCGGTGCTTAACAAATCTCCATGGGTGATGCTTTAAAAATGTCTACAGGTTAGCAGTGTAAAGTTACAGAGGAGGTCTAGTGCGAGAATTATTGCTCTTGCTCCGACGTTCATGGCCATACTTCACATGTGTGGTTTGAACACCATTTACGTATGTGGGTGAGGCCTACGTATGCGTTCACCATTACGTGTGAGCACAGGTGGATGGGGTCACTTTAAAACGTTTTTTTTTTTTCTTGCACTGTCACTTTAAAAAAAATGTTGTCACTTTTATTATTAATCACAAGCAATGCATGCATCCCTTGTGATAGAAATAATTAGCAACAGGTCCTCTTTATGGAGATATGGGGTCAATAAGACCCCACATCTCTCCTCTGCAATGTAAAGCATTGGATCAAAAAAAAAAAAAAAGAAAAAGCATTGATCTAGTGTTTTAAAAAAAAAATACAAAAATGGCCGGAACAGGAAGTGACATCGCTCCAGTCCTCCAACGTCATAGAGATGAGTAGAGGCCATCTTTTCTTTACTCATCTCTATGCCCAGTGCCGGGATCACTCGGTGGTTTCTCAGGTAAGGCTGGAGAACTACCGAGTGGCACGCGGCGAGGGGCGAGGTTTTTCGGTGCCTTTTTTAATTTTGGCCGACACGTTTCAGCCACCGAAATTTCAGTGTATCCCTAACTTAGGTAATCTTCAAACCAATTGGGCCCAACTCTAAGGGACGTTGGCTGATTATAGCTGACAGCGCTCTCCATTTTCAAATCTAATCCTTGGCATCAGGTTCTGAGGATCTGCAGTGAGCTCAGCCGTTTATTGATAGTTGTTCCCGTTCGCTGGGGATTCAACAGTCCCCTCATATTGGAGGCAGTGGATTATTTTTGGCCTAACAGTTACTGGTACTTTACTGTGAATGCTGTTACTTCTTAACCACTTCCAGTCCGGACACTTTTACCCCCTTCCTGACCAGGGCAATTTTCAGCTTTCAGCGCTAATACACTTTGAATGACAATTGCGCAGTCATGCAACACTGTACCCAAATGAATTTTTTACCATTTTTTTTTGAGACAGATAAAGCTTTATTTTGGTGGTATTTATTCAGCTCTGGGATTTTTATTTTTTTTTGCCATGTAAATAAAAAAGTCCAAACATTTTGAAAAAAAGTGTTTTTTTTATAAAGTTTTGCAAATAAATAATATTTCATCATAAATCTTGGCCAAAATTTATTCCGTTATCTTTTTAGTAAAAAAAAAAAAATCCAAATTAGTTTATAACCAAAAATTATAATTTTTTTTACATTTTTTATATTATTTTTTATTTTTTTTTACATACGGTCACCCTAGCAGTACAGTGTCGCCATGGTGACACTGTACTACTTGTGGGGGGTGATGAAGATTTTTTTTTTTTTTTAATTTACACTGATTGCTTTTATACCCATATAGGATGTAAAAGCAATCATTTCTCTTTCTCTCTGTCTGCATTCTTGCAGTCATTGAGAAGTACTGAGCGAGCTGTGATTGGTCACAGCTTGTCACATGGTACAAGGCTGTTGTGAATAGCCTTGTACCCTGTGACCTCTGTGATCATTCACAGATTTCACACGTAGTAAGCAATGATGTCACAAGTGACATCTTGCTTACTGCTTTGCATGTGATCACTGATTGGCCAATCAGTGATCACATGATCGGGACCTCATACAGAGGTCCCGTCTGACGATCGGTGTTTCACTGTGTCCGGAGGGTGCGGGGAGGCTGTTTATAAACGGCCACCCGACCCTGCACTGCCACCGTCCGGCCGTTTATATACAACGGCCGGGCGGGAGGTGGTTAAAGATGACAAGAGTGATTATATTTGCTGCATATACCAATGTTATTTTGTGCTTTTTGATCAAGCTACGTTCAAATTCAATGCAAAACTCTATATTGGTACACAGTGGTGACTACTTCTGGTCACAAGAATACGGTGGTGTCAGCAGAGGCTGGGTTTTCAGAAAGAGGTCCAGATTGACAGGGAACCTGAAAAATTACTAAGCAACCCTTAAGGGGGTAGAGCTCTATGTGGGGGCTTGTCCGGGATATCCCTGTTCAGAGAATTTGCGAACCCCAAAAAGAAAGCATGGAACCCTCTCAAATACTACTTTTTATTCAATAAATCTCATTTTAGAAGGTAATGCACTAGGCCCATCCGCCCTCTGTTTGTTTCTTTGCACACAGCTCATAAGTGGGGGCTTGTCCGGGATATCCCTATTCAGAGAATTTGTGAACCCCAAAAAGAAAGCATGGAACCCTCTCAAATAATGACGTCAACAAGGTGGCACGGTTTCTCCCATTGATGCTAACAATGGGGGGCACTATTCCTACCACTGTCACCAAGAGGGTACTGTTCCTTCCACAGACACCAACGACGGTGCACTATTCCTCCCCTTAATGCCAAAGATGCACTGTTTATTCCCACTGATGCCAGGGCAATTTCTACCCCCAATGGCCACAGTCCAGCCTCTCTAAAGGGCCGTAAACTGTTTAGAAAGTTTGGAGACCACTGGTTTAGAGGATGTCTGGCCAAAATACTTGACCCAAGCTTTATAGCAGTTGCGTCAATAAGACTAGTTTGATCTTTTGACAAAGATGACCGAAGATATTTAGGTACCCAAGCATGAGCAAAGGAATGATGAATCTCCTGCGCTGAACGATGAGCTCCACAAGGTCAGTAACCCCACATGGACTACTTTTTAGGAATGCAAGCTTTGCTGCCCTCAACAGACAAGGCTGGACTGTGGCCATTGGGGGTAGAAATTGTCCTGGCATCAGTGGGAATAAACAGTGCATCTTTGACCGTAAGGGGAGGAATAGTGTACCGTCGTTGATGTCCCTGGAAGGAACAGTACCCTATTAGTGACAGTGGTAGGAATAGTGCCCCCCATTGTTAGCATCAATGGGAAAAACCATGCCACCTTGTTGATGTCACTATTTGAGAGGGTTCCATGCTTTCTTTTTTTCACAAATTCTCTGAACAGGGATATCCCGGACAAGCCCCCACATAGGAGCTGTGTGCAAAGAAACAAACAGAGGGCGGACGGGCCTAGTGCATTACCTTCTAAAAATGAGATTTATTGAATAAAAAAGTAGTATACTCACAAAAGAATAAAAAATCAAAGGCACATCACAAAAAAGGACAGCATGGTCCAATCTCCCTAGATGGTGGCTATTGGGGGACTGTAGGCCTCCAAATACCTGAGGTGTTTCAAGGCAGAACCTCTTCCTCAGAGCCAACGCACTAGGCCCGTTCACCCTCTGTTTGTTTGCACACATTTATGGTACCAAGTGGGAATGACTAATGTAGAAAAGGTGATAAATTTCCCCCCAAAAATGCTGACACCTTGGAAGTTAGAACAAGGTGAGACATGGGACAACACTAAGGAGAATGCTCAGAGTCCTGTTCACTAAAGGAATTCATGGGCCAGCTATAACAGAAGCCAAGTGACTTATGCAGGCCATAGATGGGTCGAAAATCGGTCAATTTTCTGATCGTTAGTGGGCTAATTGTTCGGCCATTTTTCGGTATTTTGGCAGATTTTTTTTATCGGTAAAGTTGGAAAAAAATCAGCCGATTTTGCCGATCGGCCGATTTTCGCGGCAATGATGGGCAAATCGGCCGATCTTTTTACCAATAAAAAAATCTGCGCATGAGCAGTGACTTGCAAGAGGAAGACAAAAAGAAGAAGAAAAAAGAAGAAGAAAAGAAGAGGATGAAAAAAGAATAAAGAAGAGGATGAAGAAGAAGAAGAAGAGGATGAAGAAGAAGAGGAGAAGAAGAAGAAGAGGATGAAGAAGAAGAAGAGGATGAAGAAGAAGAAGAGGATGAAGAAGAAGAAGAAGAGGATGAAGAAGAAGAAGAAGAAGATGAAGAAGAAGAGGATGAAGAAGAAGAAGATGAAGAAGAAGAAGAGGATGAAGAAGAAGAAGAGGATGAAGAAGAAGAAGAGGATGAAGAAGAAGAAGAGAAGAAGAAGAATGAAGAAGAAGAAGGATGAAGAAGAAGAGGATGAAGAAGAAGGATGAAGAAGAAGAGGAATCCCAGTGTCCCTGCAGAGAGCTCCGCTATTTCTTTGACAGTTCCTTGACATTTATAGCGGTTGCAACAATGTATCTATTTGTTTCCGAATAAAAACATCTGTATCCGAAATGGATACAAATAGATAGATTGTTGCAACCGCTATAAATGTCAAAGAACTGTCAAAGAAATAGCGGAGCTCTCTGCAGGGACACTTTTTGCCGGCTGTAGACGGGATGAAAATCGGCCGATTTTTTTTACCATTGCTGGTAACGTCGGCCGCTTGAACGACCGATTTTTTTTTAAAAAAAGAAAAAATCGGCCGATTTTCGACCCATCTATGGCCTGCATTAGTGTATCGCTATGGCTTACAGACTATTGCCGATGTTCATCTGCTATAACTTGATATACAACGTGCGTGTATATAAAAATGTTTGCATATTTGTAGCATGCAAAGTCTTGTATTGTTTTCCTATAGCAGTCTGTGTGCAGCATTCTCATTAGGGAAAATAATCACATTAACATACAACTGGGTTTCTTTCCTTGGATTTACTGCAAGAAGTAGTTACTTCAAAAGAAACAAAGAAAACCAAACTGAAGAATATTTCATGTCCATGCCTAGGACAAAGTGGACCTGTCCTTACTAGAAAAGTGCTAGTAGCTAAATTAGTGCTTGGCATACAAATACCTATCCAAGCTGGTGAGACAAACTGAAGAGTGGGGAGTCGGCAGTGAATATACCAAGATTCGTTTTTCAGTGCTCCTCCTACTGGGAGATGGGGCACTGTATCCAGCATCCATAGGGCAAACAGAACCTCTTTTAACCACTTGCCTACTGGGCAATTTTACCCCCTTCTTGCCCAGGCCAATTTTCACCTTTTAGCCCAGTCGCATTTTGGATACAGTGTTGCATGACTGCACAATTGTCATTCAAAATAAAACGTGCCCTGATAGCTAGCCACACTAAAGGGGCTACATTGATCATCACACTGATGATCAATGTAGATGTCCCCCCTGAGAGAAGCTGCTTACCGGCTAACCTCTACTCATGTGCTCTCAGCTGATTGGACAAAGCTAATCACATAGTAAAAAGGTGGCTCTGATTGGCCCTTTACCTGGACACGTGATCAGCTGTGTCCGAAGGACACAGTGATCACAGATCGCGCACCCCCATGGGGCGTGCAGGTGGTGAGGTTCTAGGAGGACGTCCATGGATGCTGTAATGCCTATGAAATGTGTTGGCCTTGGACTCTGTTTCTTGGGGAATTTTTACAATAAAGCATCGCTGCCCAGATGCCAGAAGCACGAGAAATGACACTGATAACATTTCTCTAGGCTAAAAAAGAACAGAGTCACAAGACATTAGACTGCTTAAAGCAGATAAGTGTTTGTGGGATTGAACGTGTTTGTGACATCTAGAAATGTTACATTAGACTGCTTACATTAGATAATAACTTGTTTGCGCATTTAAAGATGTCCACTTGTTTAAGAAGTTAGAAATCTAAGTTTACGGCAGATAAGAAGCTGATTTGAAGCAAAAAGTGTGATATTATGAGATAATGTTGTTTGTTTAGTGTAGGGGCTGGGAGTGACTCTGTTATCCTCACGGAACCTTTCTGCTAACTCCTGGAGTGGGCGTGGCACCCACCCAATTCAGGAAAGTGCCAGAAACGGGGATTAAAACGAGGAGCCTGAATGCGGTCGAGAAGGGGCCTTCGTATGCGAAAGGGGATGCTCTGACGCTGACACTCTTGCCAAGGATATATGGGCTCATCGACTGGTCACGTTCACGACTCCTCTGTGACACCCTGTTCATTATTGGTTCCGATGGGGTCTGTTCCTTCCCGTCTTCCCATAGCTTTGGTAATGTATTAATTCTATGCTGTCACACTGTCAAAAGATGTGTATTTCATGCTGTAATGCTCACATTATTATTGGTGTGTGTTATTATGCAGATTGTGAGGACTATAAGATATATCCTCCTGTGTGTCGTGTGATAATAAAAAGCGGAGGTTTTGACAGTGCAAGAATATTGCAGTTGGATTATTATTTTTTGGAGTGCCAAGTGAATGCTATGGTGTGCGAGGGCAGGTGTTTATTCGGTAGTGGGTCTCACATGCTTAGAATAATTAATGGTGTAAATGCTGATTCAAGGTGCCTGTGTATTTGTGTGTGGGACTACCTGTGTATTTGTGTATATGACTTGCTTTTAGTCTGTGTCCAGCATTGCATTACAGATGCCCTCCCAGAACTAGCCAACCACACTGTAGCCATCTTTTGGCTATAACGTGGTTGGGAACTGATTAAAAAGGGTTTCAAAAGCTTTGCCATAGCCAGCACTCCTCACACAATGGAAGCCATGGAGCCAATGGAACGACCTTTGTACATTCAGAAGATAATTTCCTGGTGTAAGAATCTTCTTTGAACTCTTTCTACCTTATCCTCAAATATCAGAAACAGAACATACGCCTTTACTGAGCATCTAAAAAGGCAGGTGCAACAGTTGACTGACAATGGTGGACTGACCTGGTCCTTGGAGAACTGTCTGACGGACAGGATGTGTTGTCCAATGAGGGGGTGGAGGAGAGGTGAGGTCTGTACATGGGGGATACTCTGTATCGCCATGTTCTGAGGGGACATGAGCCGGGGGATGGGAGGCGGGTAGGAATAACCATCCTGAATAGACGACAGATCTGAAAATACAGCGTGATGAAGGTTAGTGCCCAGGGCATATATCAGTACACATCAGTTACATCATCCTGTCCTACGTAATGTATGATTAATATAAAAAAAACAGTACTGGGGCAACTAAGACCAATCCTGCCCTGATAATTGGGGAAACTTTCCTTCCTGACCCCACTCAGTCACATAATCCTTTATAGATCATGACTGGGGGAACCAATATACGTAATAAAATCAATTACATTCATATCAGTTTAGTTGACTGATACAATCAGTCTAGTTAGGGTAGTAAGGCATTCCAGAACTGCTCTTACAATAAAGAACCCTTCCAATCATAAAATCATTTCCATGCACATCAGCCTATGCCTATTCCCATCAGCCTTAGCCTATTCAGGGAAAAAGTGAGGGCCAGTGCCAACGGGTTCTCATTTGCGCCAAATGGGTTTTGCCTTCCTATACAAGTCTATGGACATGCAAAACTCAGTTGCACCTGTCAATGAATTCTAAATCTAAGAAGCAGCCCAAGCACCATGTCATACAAGCCCAAAGCCCGCCAACACAGGTCCTTTGGTTGTCCCCTCCCACCCCCAACCATATTACTTGTGTCACTGGCGCCCCCTGGCTGCTTCTCCTTTCACTGCAGCCACCACTAGGATACCCAATGTCAGCCCTTAGAGCAGTGGTTCTCAACCTTCCTAATGCCGTGACCCTTTAATACAGTTCCTCATGTTGTGGTGAGCCCCAACCATAAAATTATTTACCCAGTAATTATAATTCATGAGTGTCGTTTTACCTCCAATACTGCTGCTTTCAACACCGTAGCTGCTTTTACAGAGTAGCTGCTTTCTACACAGTAGCTGCTCTTTACACATCGGAAATGTGTTTTCTGATGGTCTTAGGGGACCCTGTGAAAGGGTCATTTGACCCCCAAAGGGGTCGCGACCCACAGGTTGAGAACCACTGCCTTAGAGGGAGAGCCATAGGACAGAGTTTGTGCCTAGCGATTGGCTTAGGAATGAACACCATCATGGGAGGTCACATGCTCCCCCATGCCCGGGTATTATTCAGTGGCGGCCTCCAACAGAGGAACATCAGGGGAGAACTGGAAAGGTAAATATAAAGGGGTCAGGGGTGCGAAGCTAGACACTGTTGCACCTTGAATCTATGTTTTGGATCAGGGGACTGAAAGAGAGCCAAAACACAGATTTACTGCCTGGCGTGTGCAAGACACTGTAGTAAGCGGACATGTTCTCTATGATCAGAATACACAATACTGACCTGTGTCTGAAGACTTCTTGACTCTGTCCTTTAGCGGCTCCTCGGCTGCACACAGAAAAGGCGAGTCAGTGACATATAAAACACCTACACACACACACACGAACACAGAGGAGGAAATCTGCCAAGCTCTGCACATTTTGTAGCTGGTATTGGACAAATCTCTACAGCAGGGGTGGCCTGACCATTTGGAAACTCGGGCACTGCCCGAGGGCCCGGGGTCAGTAGGGGGCCCCATGAGATGCTCCTGGTACCTTTTTCATAGGCTTTTTGAGTTTGGGCAAGGACACAGGGGCCCCATGATCCCCTATTGCCCGGGGGCCCCATGAGTTGTCAGTCCGCCCCTGCTCTACAGGTTTAAAAAAAAAAAAAAACACAAAAAAACCCCACAAAAAAAAAAAACCCCACAAAAAAAAAAAAAAAAAAAAAAAAAAAAAAGTGCCACTCACTGCTCAAGCTGGGGTACACAGGAGGCCATCACATATGGCTGCACATGGCTCCAGGGTCAGAGCAACATGCTCTTCGGGGGTGGAGTCTGAGCACAAACGTGCAGAGGAGACTTGGAACTATCCACCAATGACAGAGCTTGGCAAATCACCAAATTTCGAGAAAATCTAAAAGAAGGTTCCGGCGACATTCAGCGACACACAGCTGTCCTTTTAAAGTTCTGTGATTTAAGCAGCTCATTCTAAATTCATGGAGATTTCAGATAAACCTCTACCTGCATCACCAGGATGCTATTACATAGTTAGTCTGGCTGAAAAAAGACAAAAGTCCATCCAGTTCAACCATAAAAAAAAAAAAAAAAAAAAAGTTATAATCCTACACCCACAGTTGATCCAGAGGAAGGCAAAAAAGAAAACCCCATGAACCAATTTGCTCCTGCTGGGGAAAAAAATTCCTTCCTGATCCCCCGAGAGGCAAACGGATATTCCCTGGATCAACTTCCCCTATAAATGTTATATCCAGTTATATTCTGTGTATACTATTGGCATACACAATACTATGAAAGGTCATCCGATTGGTCACCTGTAAGCGACAGTCACCCCAGCCACACGCCGCTGAATCTGGCCAAGAGTTGTCATCTTTAGTACTCAATTTCTTGTAGTCAATCAGGGATAAATCAGAGATACAATTGTGCAAGTAATGGACAAGGGCAGCAGTCTAGGGAAGAGTCACTACTGAGTAAATATGGCCGCCGTTTCGGCAATCAACTGCTTACATCCATATAGGAGATTTCATTGTAATTTTCACGGGAAGGCAGAAGGGAGCGCCGTGCCCCAGACTGAGCCCATATGTCCACTTTACAAAAGTGATTTGTGGGTTATCGGAAACTGATCACATTCCGATATAAAAAATGAGGATAGAATTTTAAAAGATATCGGAGATTCTGGCCAATGGATCAAGAACAAATTTCACTGATTGGTGCACTGAACGTTACCTATCCTCCCAGCGTTCCCTCTGTGCTGAGTGAGAGACATCCTCCTGGATACTGGACCACAATGTAGAGTTAGAAGACTGAACACAGCCACCCCTTCCACCCACCATATTTATGGGACTGTTATAAAGGCCCCCCACAAGGACTGTGCCATCAGCTCCTGACTGGTGATAATTGGAAGATGGGGCATATTGTCCGTTCCTCAGAAGCGTGGCACATGTAGAATGACGAGAGGAGACATCTACTCCCAATGAGGTGTTCAACACAGGACATGTGAAGGTTCCAATCTGGTTCCCGAGTCCACCTCTTCCCAAATTTCCTACTGGCTTTTTCCTATCTATGCATTTCTACGAGCAATTCTCACCCCAATGCTTAACTTCTACATTAGTCCCACACATTACAAACCGAGTGATTGGCCGTAAATGTAATAAATAGGTCGACACTACCCTACAAATATTGTATGCAGGAGGTATCTTCATTAGAAGGTAACCCATCACATTTGATGAAGGAACAAGAACATAGATATCATTTTAGTGACTGATGATGTATTTCTTTACGTATATATCGTTACCATTGCTAATGTTGGGCTGAATGTTCGAGTCGAACCCAAGTATGACGCGAATATTGACCGTTAATGTGTTCGCTGAACACACAGACGATAGGGGCCCCACAATGCACTGCACCCTGACAGCGCATTGCGATTGGTCAAAGCAATGCACGTGACCACAGGTCAGGTGCAATGCTTTGGTCAATCATAGCACAGGATGATGTCACAAGGGGGCAGGTGAACCCCACCCCCTCGTAACGTCAAAACACTTTTTTTTTTTTTGGGTAGTGTCTGCAGCGGGCATCGTAATTGACGTTGGACCTACTTCGGGGGACATCTTTTTTTTCATTTTTAATAAAGGACTTGTCAAAGAATGTCTCCTGTCCTTTTTACACACTTTTCTTTGTAAATGGGTAGCGGTACTGCATACTCATTCAGATGGGGGGGAGGGGGGTACTGGGATCTGGGGGCTCCCCTTGTTAAAGGGGGCTTCCAGATTCCAATAAGCCCCCCTCCCGCAGACCCCCACAACCATAGCCAAGGGTTGAGGACAAGAGGCCCTGGTCTCCATCAACATGGGGACAAGGTACTTTGGGGGGGGGGGGGAGCACTGACAGCTCCACCCCAGGCTGAAGCCCAATTTACGGATGTTCTTATTGGGGAGCTACAGAACAATACATCCACCATCCCCTTCCACTCCAGTCGATGGCCTGTACGGTGTTTCAATCCCCCCCAACATGGCGAATGGCGGCACTGTAGCCGCCCCACCCCCTTTCCTCCAGGCGCTGTAGCCGCCGCCACCCCCCTTTCCTCCAGGCGCTGTAGCCGCCACCACCCCACCCCCCTTTCCTCCAGGCGCTGTAGCCGCCACCACCCCCCTTTCCTCCAGGCACTGTAGCTGCCACCCCCCTTTCCTCCAGGCACTGTAGCCGCCCACCCCCCTTTCCTCCAGGCACTGTAGCCGCCACCCCCCTTTCCTCCAGGCGTTGTAGCCGCCACCCCCCTTTCCTCCAGGCGCTGTTGTAGCCGCCACCCCCCTTTCCTCCAGGCGTTGGCGCCACCCCCCTTTTCTCCAGGTGCTGTAGCCGCCACCCCCCTTTCTTCCAGGCGCTGTAGCCGCACCACCACCCCCTTTCTTCCAGGCGCTGTAGCCGCCACCCCCCTTTCTTCCAGGCGCTGTAGCCGCCACCCCCCTTTCTTCCAGGCGCTGTAGCCGCCACCCCCCTTTCTTCCAGGCGCTGTAGCCGCCACCCCCCTTTCTCCAGGCGCTGTAGCCGCCACCCCCCTTTCTTCCAGGCGCTGTAGCCGCCACCCCCCTTTCCTCCAGGCGCTGTAGCCGCCACCCCCCTTTCCTCCAGGAGCTGTAGCCGCCACCCCCCCTTTTCTCCAGGCGCTGTAGCCGCCCACCCCCTTTTCTCCAGGCGCTGTAGCCGCCACCCCCCTTTCCTCCAGGCGCTGTAGCCGCCACCACCCCCCTTTCCTCCAGGCGCTGTAGCCGCCACCCCCCTTTCCTCCAGGCGCTGTAGCCGCCACCCCCCTTTCCTCCAGGCGCTGTAGCCGCCACCCCCCTTTCCTCCAGGCGTTGTAGCCGCCACCCCCCCTTTCCTCCAGGCGTTGTAGCCGCCACCCCCCCCCCTTTCCTCCAGGCGTTGTAGCCGCCACCCCCCTTTCCTCCAGGCGCTGTAGCCGCCACCCCCCTTTCCTCCCAGGCACATCATCATACCACATTAGAAATTCAACTCCTGCTTTGCATAATGGTCAAAGAACAGAAGGAGGAGAGGGGCATGCTGCCGATCACCCTAGCTCTCTGATCCGAATAGGACCAAGTGTTACACAGACTTGGCCCCCTGGGGAAAATCAATGATCTTGTTGTGGTTACTTCTTTATCTACTATAGATATTTCTGAAATATCAAAATCACATCTTTAAAATTTCTAATCGCATGATTCTTGATCGCTTGGATAGAACTCGCTACTTTAGGTGCACTCCAATGGTTTGCGCCTTGGTTTTGCAAACTAACTCACTAGGGCCAACCTCTAGAATCTCAGACATAACAATCCCACTTTTCATTCTTATTGAACCTTTTGTGCCAAGGTTGTAACCTGGCATGCGTAGCGGTGCAGACTCCCTCCAGGCAAACTCCCAGGAACATAATCCCCCCATATCACAACGTTCTATTATCTACAAATAAATGGTGCCTCTAGATGGGCTGTGATGGTGTCTTTAGGCCACCCTATGAGTAATTCCAACCTTGCTCACATGGCATCACCTCACCTGGTAGGCCGGGGTCAGAGGAGCGGTGGATTCTTGGTGGCAGATGGAAGCGGGGATCAGCAGCAGGGGCAGCTCTCCGTGGGCTGGGAGCCCGGCTCCGAATGGCTTCACTCTGCACAGTCACATGACGATGGCGTTCTGGAGTCTGGAAGGAAATCTCTATCAGCCTAAAAACATCCTACCAAGTTTCTTGTCTTCCCCCCCAGCCCGGACACCACCCCCCATTGACTTCTCCATCACATCCAACAACGCCACCATCAAACCCACCCCGCAGGCCAGAGTACTTGGTGTCATTCTGGACTCCAACCTATCCTTCCAGCCCCAAGTCCAATCTTTAACAAATTCATGCAGACTCCACCTCCGCAACATCGCCAAAATCCGCACGTTCCTAACCCCAGAAACCACTAAACAGCTCATCCACTCCCTCATCATATCACGACTCGACTACTGCAACTCCCTCCTCCCTGGCCTGCCTCGCCGCTGGCTATCCCCGCTTCAGTCCATCCTGAATACGGCTGCCAGACTCATTCACCTTTCCAACTGCTCCATCTCCGCCACCCCCCTCTGCCAATCCCTCCACTGGCTTCCGATTGCGCAACGGATCAAATTCAAAATCCTAACACTGACGTACAAAGCTGTCCACCATACTGCCCCGAACTACATCACTGACCTAATATCCAAGTACCGCCCAGCACGCACACTCCGCTCCTCACAAGACCTCCTTCTCTCTAGTTCCCTGGTCTCCTCCTCCCATGCCCGCCTCCAGGACTTCTCCAGGGTGTCACCCATCCTCTGGAACTCCCTGCCCCAACCCATCAGATTATCACCTACTCTCCTCTCCTTTAGGTGCACCCTGAAAACCCATCTCTTCAGGAAAGCCTACCCCACCCCCTGCTAACTTGCCGACCTCCTCTACTCTTCCTACCACTCCATCCCCCTCAGCTATCTCCTCCTGTGCCACCATCCCCCTCCCTCTACCCCCCCCCCCCCCCCCCCCCCCCCCCCCCCCCTAGATTGTAAGCTCCGAAAGAGCAGGGCCCTCGATCCCCTCATGTTTTGCATTGTATTGTTCTGTCACATGTTCTGTCCCCCTTTATAATGTACAGCGCTGAGCGAACTATTGGCGCTTTTGGCTTTACTCAATATATATATATATATATATATATATATATATATATATTTTATTTATTTTTTAATTTTGCTTTGCATGTTGAAATGCATTTTCATTACAAAATATATTACAAATATTTTTAAAAAATACATTTCAAAAATACTGTATGTCTTTAAAAATACAAATCTACATTTTTGGAATGCATTTACAGATATATGTAAAAATATATGTTAAAATGACTTTTTTATATGTAAAAAAAAAAAATCTGAATACATTTTTTTAAATATTTTTTTTTTAAAATATATTCTTCAGATTTTTTTTTTTTAACATATAAAAAGGTCATTTTAACATATATTTGTAAATGCATTCCAAAAATTTAGATTTGTATTTTTAAAGACATACAGTATAATTTAAATGTATTTTTAAAAATATTTCTCATATATTGTGTAATAACACATTTCAACATGATTATATATATAATCATGTTGAAATATATAATAGAAATATATTGAATATGGCCAAAATTGTAGCATTTCAAATATTTGGCAATATATTTGAGAAGAATATTTTAAAATATATTTCAAATATATTTTTCTTCCATATGAGTTATAGCAAACTGGTGGAAGTCTTTGTGGAAATACCGTCTTAGAATAAAATGTATAGTATACCTTAAGGACTTCTTTATTCTGGGCGGGAACAGTCTGAGTAGCCAGTGGAAGAGTCCACTTCCGGACATCCTGACCGTAACCAGCCGGCACGAGGACCTATGAAAGAAATCATCCAGAAGGTTGGTGGTCCGGTAGAAAAGGATGCATCATATAAAAGTGGAGAGTTTGAGGACCTACCTGTCCATCAATGTACGCAACTTCACCCCGCAGGACAACTCTACGCACAGCTCCCTTCAACTTCATTCCCTCAAACGGAGTCCACTTGGATTTGGTGAACTGCATAGACTTTGGGACAACCCACTCATGTTCCAAATCCACCTGTGAAGAAAAAGGGACATTAAGTAGAAAACGGTCAAGAAGATTACAGAGGGGGTCGGCGACAGGATCAGTCACCATGGAGGTGGGACAGTTGAAGACCTAGGCTATTGCAGTTGGGAGATCTAGGCCATGAGGCGAGAGATTCATCATACGAGATGGGAAGGTGGGAGATCTAGGCCACGAGATGGGAAGGTGGGAGATCTAGGCCACGAGATGGGAAGGTGGGAGATCTAGGCCACGAGATGGGAAGGTGGGAGATCTAGGCCACGAGATGGGAAGGTGGGAGATCTAGGCCACGAGATGGGAAGGTGGGAGATCTAGGCCACGAGATGGGAAGGTGGGAGATCTAGGCCACGAGATGGGAAGGTGGGAGATCTAGGCCACGAGATGGGAAGGTGGGAGATCTAGGCCACGAGTGGGAAGGTGGGAGATCTAGGCCACGAGATGGGAAGGTGGGAGATCTAGGCCACGAGATGGGAAGGTGGGAGATCTAGGCCACGAGATGGGAAGGAGGGCGATCTAGGCCACGAGATGGGAAGGAGGTCGATCTAGGCCACGAGATGGGAAGGAGGGGCGATCTAGGCTATGAGGTGAGTTGTGGGAACATTTTGTCAGGGAGGTGGGAAGGATGTTCCTCACTTACTATACTCTCACTTACCTCGATATAGGTATTCTCTTGGACTGGCAGCGAGAATATTTTGCGAGGGTTGTCATATAGGCGCTTGATTATGTCATCTATCATCAGTCGTCCCTCGCTGACAGCAGTGAGCAGTAGGGGAAGCATAGTCTCCAGGCCAGGATACCCAGGGGGAGGGTTTGGCCCTTCTTTCTCCTCCACAGAGTGGGGGGCTGTAGAAGGAGAAAAATCAGCAAAATATCAGTGTCCAGTTTTAAGAAAAAAAGCCGCTTCTGCCAAAATGCCCCTTGACCAAAGTCTGGGTCACCCTGTCTCAATAACCCATCCTGTGCACTTACTGTATTCCTACATTGCAAACTCTGTCCTGGTAGCAATTTATTATTCTCCTCCCTAAGAACTCACACTATCCCACCTCTATCAGGAATTGGTCATCATATGAATAATGTGGATAAAGGCACAAACTATATCTGTACCCGTATTATAAACGTCATAGAAATAATTACCATGATCGGTGGCAAAGCAGTCTATGATGTCCAGGTTGTCCCACAAGGCCTGCATGTCCTCTCTGGTCCCCAGCATGGGACGTACTTGCCCTCTCTTGTCCCCCAGTCGGTCAAGGTCATCCAGACAGAGGAAGAGGTGATGGGGCGCCACCTCACAGGTAACTTTGATGCCTTTCTGCTTGGCAGCCTTAATGATCAGGATCTAAAAAGGTGATTTGATTAGTGAACATCGTATGGCATATTTTTTTTTCCATCTTATGGCATATTAAAGGCTCAACAGGCTGGAGACTCACCTCTTCCTTCTTAGCCACATGGCAGATATGCACCGACCGCTTATACAACTGAGCCACCATCAGAATTGCTGCAACAGTCTGGTTCTCTGCATGAGCCACAATCGGCAAGTGAGACGGCCACTTCTCAAAATGCTGCAACAAAAGGCAAAGACGAAGCTTCAGGTACAGATCATAACCCAACTGCCCAGGGGAAAAAAATGGACCAGAAATATCACTCCCAACATAGAAGGTCTCAGAACCCAACTGCCCAGAAGAAAACGGACTTCAGTCGTCACCCCATATAAAGGGAGACTCTGAAACCTCCCCAGCAGAAAAAAGACCCAGGATGTGACATCAAACTGAATGGGACTCAGGACCCAACCTGCCAGGAGAAAACAGGCTCAGGATGTGACACCAATCTGTGGGGGACTCAGAACCCAACTACCTAGGAAAAAGTGGACTAGCGATGTCTTAGAACCCTTTTGTGACCACTTGGTAACAAAAGGATCAGTGACTCAAGAACCCAGAGCCCCTCCAGCGCCCACCAGGTAACAGATCTTTTTCAGTGTCCACTTGGGAACACAAAAACCAGAGACCTGAGAACCTAGAGCCCTTCCTGTGCCCATCTAGGAAAGCAATAACCAGAGACATGGGAACCTAGAGCCCCTCCAGCGCCCACCTGGTAACACAGAACCTTTTGGTATCCACTTGGGAACACAAGAACCAGAGACTTGAGAACCTAATGCTCTTCCAGTGCCCACCTGGGAAAGCAATAACGAGACTTGAGAACCTAAAGCCCCTCCCAGTGCCCACCTGCCTGGTAACAGAACCTTCTGGTAGCCACTTAGGAACACAAGAACCAGAGACTTGAGAATCTAAAGCCCTTCCAGCACCCACCTGGGAACACAATCAGAGACCTAAGAACCCAACCCAGAGAACCTTCTGGTATCCACTTGGGAACACAAGAGTCCTTGAGAACCTAAAGCCCTTCCAGCACCCACCTGGGAACACAATGAGTAAGCCCCTCCACAGTAAACCTTCTGGTATCCATTTGGGAACACAAGAGCCAGAGACTTGAGAACCTAAAGCCCTTCCAGCGCCCACCTGGGAACACAATAACCGAAGACCTGGGAATACAATAACCGGAGACCTGAGAACCCAAAGCTTCTTCAGTGCCCACCTGGGAACACAAACGTCTGGCGTCCACTTGGTGACACAGAAGGACCAGAAACCTAAGAACCCAAAACCCCTCAACCGGGACAAGTGAAACCTGCAGACTGAAAAACCATAATGGACTTCTTAACAGGAGAGATGACAGCAGCGAGGACTCACCTCCATCCACAAAGAGACATTGTCCATCTTGAGCTGAGAGTACGTGTCATTCAGATACATCTTCAGTCCAGCCGCTGAACTGGCAATGGAGGAGAGGGACCCGGCATTCTCTGAACAGGCACCCAGGAACAGGGCAAAGTCACATCTGGCACCAGCCTCTGCCAACTGAGATGAGAAGATGGTATGACATTAGGGAGGGGGAGAAACCAGTCAGCGGAACTACAATACATAGGAACAGCACTCACCTTCTGAGCCAGGGAGAAGGTAGCGGCATCGGTGATAGCCGGACTGGTGTTAGGCATGGCGCACACCATAGTGACACCTCCTGCCAGAGCTGCAGCGGTGCCAGAAGAGAAGTCTTCTTTGTGGGTGGCACCAGGTTCGCGGAGATGTACATGTACATCAATCAGACCTGAGGTTGATGGGAAGAAGGCAAGAATACGGAATCAAAAATTAGACAGGTATTTCCCAAAAATAAGAACATTCATGTGTCACCACAGCAGGGCAATCTAACCTAAAGCTTCACTACAAGAGTTTGAACTCGCTTCCCTACGATTGCACATCTATTGGGTTGCTTCCTCGTACTCAATGCAAGAACTAGAGCCGTAAAGGAAAATCAAAATAACCTGGAAGACGGATGAGCTTCTGGGAGGTCATACAGTCCACGTGGGTCTTCACGGGAGGGAAGGCTCCAATCTGACGCAGAGCCTAGAACAGAGCAACGGGGATCAGCATTAGCCACTCACTGAACTATTCCAATTCATGGCAGGTAGACCTCCTGTTTGGATGTTCTTTGTCACCATCCTGATACAAGTACAGCAAAGAAGAAGACATCATAAATCATCCTGCCAATATGGAACCCTTATAAGATGGAATCTGAAACAAGTCTTATTTAACCGCCTCCCGCCTGCCATGTAAGGAAATAACGGACGGACAGCGGTTTTTCTCGTTCTGGGAGCACATCATATGACGTCCTCCCATTCTAACTACGCATATGTGCCCCCAGGGATGTGCGGTGATTGGTGGTGCGCTGTGTCCCGCGGACACAGCAGATTACCGGTCAGCAGAAAGAGCCGATGACATCATCTCTGTCATGTGATCAGCTGTGTCCAATCACAGCTGATTGCATGTACACAAGGAAATACCGGTTATCGGCATTCCTCTCCTCACACTGACAGCTCGTGAGGAGAGGAGAGCCGGCAAGTGGCATTCCTGAGAGGACATCTACACTAATCATCAGGGAACTGATCAGTGCTCTGATGATCAGTGTAGCTCCGTCAGTGCCCCCCGTCACTGCCGCCTCCCGGTGCGCCCCGTTCGCTGCCACCTCCCGGTGCCCCATCCCTCGCTGCCTCCTCCCAGTGCCCCTCCGTCGCTGCCGCCTCCCAGTGCCCCATCCCTCGCTGCCTCCTCCCAGTGCCCCTCCGTCGCTGCCGCCTCCCAGTGCCCCTCCGTCGCTGCCGCCTCCCAGTGCCCCATCCCTCGCTGCCGCCTCCCAGTGCCCCATCCCTCGCTGCCTCCTCCCAGTGCCCCATCCCTCGCTGCCTCCTCCCAGTGCCCCATCCCTTGCTGCCGCCTCCCAGTGCCCCTCCGTTGCTGCCGCCTCCCAGTGCCCCTCCGTTGCTGCCGCCTCCCAGTGCCCCATCCCTGCCGCCCTCCCAGTACCCCATCACTGCCGCCTCCCAGTGCCCCATCACTGCCGCCTCCCAGTGCCCCATCACTGCCGCCTCCCAGTGCCCCATCACTGCCGCCTCCCAGTGCCCCATCACTGCCGCCTCCCAGTGCCCCATCACTGCCGCCACATATGCGTACATCAGTGAAGGAGAAAAATCACTTATTTACAAAATTTTATAACAGAAACGAAGAAAAAATTTTTTTTTTAAATTTTCAGTCTTTTGTAGTTTGTTTAGCAAAAAACAAAAACCTCAGAGGTGATTAAATACCACCAAAAGAAAGCTCTGTCTAAAAAAAAAAATTATAAAAATTTCATATGGGTACAGTGTTGCATGACCGCGAAATTGTCAAAAGTGTGACAGTGCTGAAAGCTAAAATTGGCCTGGACAGGAAGGGGGTGGAAGTGCCCAGTAGGCAAGGGGTTAAAACACTGTCTGGATAAACATGCACACACTGAGGAGATCCAAGTGTACCTATTTATGGATTGTTATATTAGCAGCAGCCAAGTCAGTCCCAAACATCCACTCTCCCCCCTCCTCATGTCTTTGGGGATTTTAAGCTTTCCTCGTCTTGTGCCTATTATATATAAACCCCCCCCCCCCACCACTTTCCTCTGTTGAAACTGATCCCTAAAATTCCCTGCAAACTTCCAACTCCACAATGAAACCCTTTGGAGCTGCAGGGGCTATCTTCAGCCCACCTTCATTTCCTGTCTGAACGACAATTCTCATCAAGCCCCTCTTGTTGATTTGTACTTTTACAGGGCTAACTAATCACAGCTATTAACTTTCTCTGCCATCAATTTTTCCTCTTGGTGATGTGTGGCCAAAAATATTAGTGTCCACATCAGTCACTGCAGTTTTTCTGAGCACTATATGAAAAAAACATCCAAAGCATCCCTTTAGATGTGCATGATCCTCCTGGTTACTAGGTGCTGCAGACTTTAGCTGTGCCATCTACTGATCAGTTGCTTTACTATGTTCTATTACAGTGATCAGCAGATTGCACAGCTAAACTCTGCAGCACCTAGTGTCCCACATGTCTAAAAGGATTCTGGAGACGCATTCTTTCATTAAAACGCAAGGCAGAGGGCTGTGGTGTTTATAGGAGCATGCCAACCTCTCCTACCAAACTGAGCAAAGACCAGCAGACTGACCCAGTGATGACAACAGTCTCAAAAAAGGAGGTATTTCATGAAGAGAGTGTACATTACACTTCAGTTTTCATTATTCTCACCCTGAAGTCCCACCACAAGTTCACCATGTATCCTACTTATGCATTTAGTTTCACTGTAAAGTCTCTGGCATCTATCTCCAGCAAACAGGCAAGGACTGAGCGAACATCGTCCTCTCCTCCACACTCACCTCAACAAACAGTTTGGTGCACTTGATGTCAATGATCAGGGGAACGGAGTAATCTACAGCCAAGCGGCGAGTGCGGTACCCGCGGGTGACAAAGGAGGAAAGCCTGCGACCACCAGAATTTCTCATGGATAGGTTGATAACCAGATCGAAGTGGTTCTCGGACAGATGGTCCATAATGCTCCTCTGCTTCTCCTTCGTGGGTCCATCACTGTCTGGATCTTCAAAGACCCAATCCATCGCCTTAATCTGTAAGAGGCCATTAGGAATGGTCATAAACACTGAAAAGGGAACGAGATACAGAAAACCGGATTGACAGTACAAAAGGCATGTGATCACCTTGATTCCATGTTCAGTATAGAAGTCGGCGGTGCCAAGACTGGCATACAGGCTGTACCCGAGGCTCTCCAGGGCCCGCACAGTGGGCAGGAGCTCACTCTTATTCTGGAGGGGAGGAAGAAGTACAAAATAAAGGTGAGAAGAGGCAAAGTTTAAGAAATGGATGCAACTCTCTCCAGAAGAATGTATGGTAAACACCATGAAGATGATTTACTAAAACTGGAGTGCGCAAAATCTGGTGCAGCTATGCAAAGAAACCAGCGTCCAGGTTTGCCAAAGCCGTAATTAAACAAGTAGAAGAAGTGGATTGGCTACCTTGCACAGCTGCACCAGATTTTGCACTCTCCAGTTTTAGTAAATCAACCCCCATATGTGCATAGGACAAGACTTGAAAAGAACCAAAACTATCTATCACCACGCCACTTCAATGACAGGGTCTGCTCAAAGCCCACCGCTCCCCCCCCCCCCCCCCCCCCCCCCCCCCCCCCACGCCACTTCAATGACCTGCTCAAAGCTCGCCCACCGCTCCACCTATGGCAGCCACCGCAAAATACCCAAATGCTTCTGGCTATGGGGGTGCAGGTGACCTTCTCCCATGAGGACCCAATTGCTAAGCACTTTCACCACCCCCTCTAATCTGACACTGGGTGGTGAGTGGAGAGCTGTAAAGAAGACTACAAAGTGGTTGGGACTTAGGTGGGCTTTAATCAGCCCTATCACTTTGCCCTTGACTGGGAAGGTAACAGGGTCTCTCTGAAGAAGTGTCGCCCCAATTTAAAAATGGCAAATCCCCCAGAAGACCAAGAGCATGCAGCACTTAGTTCTGCTCTGATCAGTGCTTTGGTTGCTTAGGTAGTGTTCCCCCCACTTCCATCAAAGCTGTTCGACCATGCTGCTACGCAAGAAATTAATATCTGAGGTCTGAGCAACAACGCTCATCTCCGGCAGCAGGCATGCACTTGAGACAGTCACCAACTACAGCATTGGAAGGGGTCAGCTCAGATCCCAACACAAGCAGAGAGCTAGTAAACTGAGTGGAGATTTGAGTGGCCACAGTGCTGCGCTGCTCCCCCATAGGATGGCCCATAAATTGGTCTTCAGCCTGGGGTGGAGCTTACAGCAAACCGACAGAAAAAAAGATGTACTTTTATTGGCTACAGTTAAGAACAAGACCAATTCTACATATAATTGGTCCCCAAGTGGACTCAACGAGTTTTAAGCCGTTGAGATACCTCTGCAGACTGTGTTGCTAAAGAAACTTAAGAGGAATCAGAAGACCAACTTATCCAACTGTGCCATTTTGGTCTACGGGGCTTCAATCAGCATCAGTGGTTTTCTCCTTTGGAAGAGACTTCTTGATCTTCAGAACAATCTTTCTGAATTCAAACTCATCTATTCTGAGCACCAAATTCAACTTGGTGACAAAGCTGTCCTTTTTGGTCTCTCACCTTGTAGCTCCCAATGGTCAACAGAATGTTGTTCTGTGGAATCTTGAAGCCGGTACTCAGCATGGCCTTCAGATAGGCTTCATAACGGTTCTCTCCGAAGCAGGCCACCTCACCCGTGCTGGTCATCTCCACCCCGAGAACCACATCTGCTCCGGCCAACCGAGAGAAGGAGAACTGAGGCACCTGGGATAAAGGAGAAAGGTCACCAATGACTGGCAACACCACATCTGGCTTCCAAGTTTGAGCTTGCTTTCCAAATTCCTTACAACTGTATGAAAGACACCGACTTCTACTTTGCATAGAAGGACAGAAGTCTTACCTTCACACCCACAATTCCTGTCCCCGTCATTAGTCCAACTGGCTCAACCTCTTCTCCCATGATCACCTGTGTGGCCAGAGCCACCATGTCCACCCCCAACGTTTTGGAGACGAATGGGAAGGAGCGAGAGACTCGGACATTGCACTCTATCACTTTCAGCTGGTCATCCTGTGCAGGAGACAAAAGGAAGAATAAGATTGGAGTCCTTGGAGACAAAGGCCAAGGGAAACGCAGACACAATGTACATATGTTGGAGCATTAGCATGCATGAGGATGAAAGATGGAAGAAAGAGAATAAGTCAGAATGGCTACGTGTGGAAACAAGCTAAGAGGGAAAAAGGTCAGAGGTGAAAAACATGAAGTCCACAAGTGGACAAACGTTCCCATGTATGCAAGTAACCCAAGGAAAATCCCAAGCTTATGGAGGCACCATCCAAGCAAAGCAAGCAGCTTAGCATCTTAAAGATAGCTCATCCTTGGGTTTGTGAGAGGTCAAGAGGGTGCAAAACATGATGATCGAGCATTAGGAGACATTCAGGTCCCAAATCCATAAGCCCATTTTATTTTTCCTTGCAGCTTCCCATTTATTCATCATCCCTCTTTCCACCCAGACCTGGAAATCACTCAAGTAGAGGAGAGATGGGAGCTGAAGAGAAACCATGCCAGAAAGTGGGGCCATTTTTGGGTTTGGGCCCCAAAGAGCACAGCCTTGAAGAATTTGCTTGAGACTAGAGCTCATTCTTGATGTGACACATTCACTTTAATAAGCTCACTATTAACATTGGTGAATTATGAGCAGACAGGCAGGGCATATAGTAAGCAATGTCCTAGTGAAGAGATGGGTCTGCAATCTTACCTTGGCAATGAGCTGCAGGTTGAAGGGTCCGGTCACCTGGAGCTCTAGCCCCACCGCATGGATGATGGCTTTGATCCTCTCCAGGGTTTTCGGGGTGATGTCCTGAGGAGGAGTGACCAGTGTGGCATCTCCAGAGTGGACTCCGGCATTCTCAACATGCTCAGAGATAGCGATGGCTACCACCACCCCATCACAGGCCACGGCATCCACATCTATCTCCTGGGGAGAGCACAGTCAGATTATTAAAGACATCTTAGCCCATTTAGTTTTTACTGAAATAAACCAAATACTCTGGAATAGTTTGAAGCAGTAAACTCAGTTTCGGGATCGAAGATTTATGGTTTTCATTTGGTGAGGTCAGAGGGTTTCTATTAGTCATCAATAAATCACTGGATCACATTTTTAATCCAAGAAAATAACAGACTGACCTTGGCTTCCTGGATGAATTTGGAGATGACTACAGGATGTTCTTTGGACACAGCCACGGCGTTGCTGAGAACTTTCTCCAGATCTTCGTCGCAATAGGCAACATTCATCGCCGCCCCACTCAGAACATAGGACGGGCGCACCACGCAGGGGAACCCCACCGAGTTACAGAACTGCAGGGCAGACTGGAGAGGGGCAGAAAGGTGAGTGAGGGAGGTTGAGTCAGAGGGGGAATGGGAGCCAGAGGAGAGAGAAGGGGGTGAGCTTGACCCATTGTACCCCCTTATCTCAAAAGCAGACAGAGCAGACCCAGTGTACCCCCATATCCCACAGGCAGAGCAGACGCATTGCACCCCCTTTATCCCAAAAGCAGAGCAGACCCAGTGTACCCCCTTTATCCCAAAAGCAGACAGAGCAGACCCAAAGTACCCCCATATCCCAGAGGCACAGCAGACCCAGTGCACCCTCTTTATCACAAAAGCAGACGCAGCGTACCCCCATATCCTAGAGGCAGAGCAGACCCAGTGTACTCCCTTGTCCAAAAAGCAGACAGAGCAGACCCAGTATACCCCCATATCCTAGAGGCAGAGCATTCCCAGTGTACTCCCTTGTACCAAAAGCAGACAGAGTAGACCCAAAGTACCCCCATATCTAAGAAGCAGGCCGAGTAGACCCAGTGCACCCCCATTAATCCTGAGGCAAGACAGAGCAGACCCAGTGCATGCCCTTATCACAGAGGCAGGACACAGCAGACCCAATGTACCCCTTATCTCAAAAGCAGACCCGGTGTACCCCCTTATCCCAGAGGCAAGCAGGCAGCGCAGACCTAGCACCCATCCCTTTTTTCGAAAGAATTTTGAGCAGACCCAGCACCCATCCTTTCTTTCAAAAGCATGCAGAGGAGACCCAGCACCCTTTCCCTCATTCCAGAAGCAGGCAGAGCAGACCCAGCACCTCCTCCTCACTCTAGAGGCAGACTGAGCAGACCGAGCATATCCCATTAAGCCCAGCATTACGCTGAGTATAATCCAGTGCACCCACTTTTCGCAGAAGCAGGCCCAGCATACCCCTTTATTCCAAAGGCAGGCAGAGTAGACCCAGCACATCCTTATTCCAGAGACAGGTAGTGCAGACCCAGTATCACCCCTTATGCCCAGCTTTGGGTAGAGAAAAATCCAGTGCACCCCCTTATTGCCGAAGCAGGCAGAGCAGACCCAGCATACCTCCATATCAGACAGCTCCTTCCACTGCGGTTGGCTGATCCCGATGGTGTCCAACAGACGGGAGAACTTGAAGCGGTTTTCGGCAGAGTCGATGGAGTCAGGCGAGGTGCCCAGGACACGGCACTGCTGTCGGTGCAGGGACATGGCTATGTTGTTGGGTAGCTGGCCCCCCATGGACAGGATGATCCCCTCGGGGTTCTCCAGCTCATAGATGTCCATCACCACCTGGAACAGAGGACAAGATTAGTAAACACAATTGCTAAATGTATTGAGATAGGTTACCACATGCTAAGGGGGTCCCCATCTGTGCCTCTTAATTTACTTCTGGTCTTGTGTGTCCTCCCCCCAATTACAGGAGCACTTTAAGGACATGAGCCTCCCTTTAAACACTCACCTCAAAGGAGATCTCGTCAAAGTAGAGTCTGTTGCACATGTCATAGTCGGTGCTGACCGTCTCCGGGTTATAATTCACCATGATTGTCTTGAAGCCCATCTAAAAAAAAAAAAAAAAAAAAAGTTAAAGTAATTATAAAACCTAAAACCAAAAAAATGTCAGAACAGCCTATCCAGTCCTTAGCAGGGGTGTAGGCATTTTTTGTCCCCCCCAAGTTTGCTTTTCCCTGAGGTTATACAGAGCTCCACCCCTGAGGAACATTTCACAGATTAAACCGACCCCCGCGGCTTTGCTTCTCCCATAGCTATACCTCACCTTGCGCAATTCCTGGATACAGCCCACCGCACACCAGTCAAACTCCACGCTGCTGCCGATGCGGTAGACACCGGAGCCGATCACCATGACGTGCGGCTCCTCAAATTGTAGGTCGTGCTGCGTGCCGTTGTAGGTCAGGTACAGGTAATTGGTCTGTGCCGGCCACTCAGCGGCCACCGTGTCAATCTGCTTCACCACCGGCAGAATCTGCCATTCCTGCCTCAACTTCCGGACGGCGAGCTCCGTGCTGTGTATGGGGGAAGAGACAAATGGGAGTTATACGACGCCAAAGTCCAAACTATTTAACATCAGAGCCAGCGGACTGAAAACTCTTGGGGCCCCCGGGCAACAGGGGATCATGGGGCCCCTGTGTCCTTGCCCAAACTCAAAAAAGCCTACGAAAAAGGTACCAGGGGCATCTCATGGGGCCCCCTACTGACCCCGGGCCCTCGGGCAGTGCCCGAGTTTCCAAATGGTCAGTCCGCCCCTGATCAGAGCTACCCTATACATTATATACCGAGATTCCTTTATTATCTGCCCCCACATTAATAATCCACCGGGCAAAGATTTTAAAGCAGCTGTGTATATTGCAAAACATTTTTAGATGTAGGTTTCCTGCAAGAGAAGACCTCCGATCTCCTCTCTTCAGTGTCCTGTGTCTCCTACTTTCCCTCTGCTCCAGGACTGCACCCCCCCCCCCCCCCAGAGGTGAGAAATGTAGAGGAGGTTGGAGACACGGGAGACCAGAGAGATGAGCAGAATACCTCTTCTATTACATGGAACAGAGACCAGGGTAGGAGACATGGAACACCTGAGAGGAGAGTAGAATAGTTCTTCTATTACAAGTAATGGAGGGGAGGTAGGAGACAATACAATGGAGAGTATAGTATCTCTTCTAATACAAAAATGGAGAGGAGGTAGGAGACACAGGACAATGGAGAGGAGAGTATAATACCTCTTCTATTACAAAAAAACGGAGGGGAGGTAGGAGACACAGGACACTGGAGAGTATAATACCTCTTCTACTACAAAAATGGAGGGGAGGTAGGAGACACAGGACAATGGGGAGTATAATACCTCTTCTATTATAAAAATGGAGGGGAGGTAGAAGACACGGGAAAATAGAGAGTATAATACCTCTTCTATTATAAAAATAAAGGGGAGATGGGAGACACAGGACAATGGAGAGTATATTATATCTCTTATAAAAATGGAGGGCAGGTAGGAGACACAGAACAATGGAGAGTATAATACCTCTTTTATTACAAAAAACGGAGGGGAGATAGGAGACACGGGACAATGGAGAGTTTAATACCTCTTATAAAAATGAAAGGAAGGTAGAAGACACGGAACAATGGAGAGTGGAATACCTCTTATAAAAATGGAGGGGAGATAGGAGACACGGGACAATGGAGAGTATAATATCTCTTATAAAAATGGAAGGAGACACAGAACAATGGAGAGTATAATTGCTCTTCTATTACAAAAAACGGAGGGGAGATAGGAGACACAGGACAATAGAGAGTATAATACCTCTTATAAAAATGGAGGGGAGATAGGAGACACGGGACAATGGAGAGTATAATACCTCTTCTATTATAAAAATGGAGGGGAGGTAGGAGACACGGGACAATGGAGAGTGGAATACCTCTTATAAAAATGGAGGGGAGGTAGGAGACACGGGACAATGGAGAGTATAATACCTCTTCTATTATAAAAATGGAGGGGAGATGGGAGACACGGGACAATGGAGAGTATAATACCTCTTCTATTATAAAAATGGAGGGGAGATAGGAGACACGGGACAATGGAGAGTATAATACCTCTATCACAAAAATGGAGGGGAGGTAGGAGACACGGGACAATGGAGAGTATAATACCTCTTCTATTATAAAAATGGAGATGAGATAGGAGATACGGGACAATGGAGAGTATAATACCTCTCATGGGCAGCACAGTGGCTAAATGGTTAGCACTTCCGCCTGGCAGTACTAGGGTCCCTGGTTCAAATCCCAACCACAGCATCACCTGCCTGGAGTTTGCATGTTCTCCCTGTGCCTGCGTGGGTTTCCTCCGGCTACTCAGGTTTCCTCCCACACTCCAAAGACATGCTGGTAGGTTAATTGGATCCTGTCTAAATTGTCCCTAGTATGTGTATGTATGAATGTGAGTTAGGGACTTTAGATTGTACACCCCTTGAGGGTTAGGGACTGATGTGAATGTACAATATATATGTAAAGTGCTGCGTAAATTGACAGCGCTATATAAGTACCTATAATAAATAAAATAAATAAAAATGGAGGGGAGGTAGAAGATACGGGACAATGGAGAGTATAATACCTCTTCTATTATAAAAATGGAGGGGAGAGGAGACACGGGACAATGGAGAGTATAATACCTCTTCTATTATAAAAATGGAGGGGAGAGTAGACACGGAGACAATGGAGAGTATAATACCTCTTCTATTACAAAAATGGAGGGGAGAGGAGACAGACAATGGAGAGTATAATACCTCTCTTATAAAAATGGAGGGGAAGTAGGAGACACGGGACAATGGAGAGTGGAATACCTCTTATAAAAAGGGAAGGAAGGTAGGAGACACGGGACAATGGAGAGTGGAATACCTCTTATAAAAATGGAGGGGAGAGGAGACACGGGACAATGGAGAGTGGAATACCTCTTATAAAAATGGAAGGAAGGTAGGAGACACGGGACAATGGAGAGTATAATACCTCTCATGGGCAGCACAGTGGCTAAATGGTTAGCACTTCCGCCTGGCAGTACTAGGGTCGCTGGTTCAAATCCCAACCACGGCACCACCTGCCTGGAGTTTGCATGTTCTCCCTGTGCCTGCGTGGGTTTCCTCCGGGTACTCCGGTTTCCTCCCACACTCCAAAGACATGCTGGTAGGTTAATTGGCTCCTGTCTAAATTGTCCCTAGTATGTGTATGTATGAATGTGAGTTAGGGACTTTAGATTGCACACCCCTTAACCTCCTTAGCGGTTTTCCCGAGTGTAGCTTGGGGTAGAATTTCTATACCAAGAACGGTAACCCCGAGCTACACTCGGGCTTACCATGCAGCGTTCTCTGGGGGTCCCTGCAGCACTTAGCTTGTCCTTCGCTCCCACGATGTGTCCCCTGCAGCGTCCCCGTCCATCTCCTCCGGCGGATGCCGGCATCTGACTTCCGTGTTCCGGTCCCCGTGACGTTGGAACGTTCGGGCGGCGGAACCGGCGGGAAATTTGAAATTTTTAAAAAATGACATTTTTGCTGTCATTGCTTTTTCACTGCATTTCACATACATTTTGTCCCCATTGCTTTGTCCTGTGCCCTGCCTGCATTTTGACTGTTCTTTCTGCCTGGAAACTTAGAAAAGTCCATGGCGGCCAAAAAGCGTCCCTTTACATCAAAAGCGGTTTTAGAACAGCGATAGTAAATCAGAACCACTTGCAGAACTGAGTGATAATGATTTGTGGGGAAATTCGTCATCAGACACTGAAAACAATTTTGCGACTTTGCTCAGCGATGTGCGAATTTGCCTCTGTATTTCAAATTTCAGTGTTTTTTGGTTTGATTATATTATTGAATTAAATTGATTATTATTATATTATTATTTTTTATGATTATTAATTAAATTATAATTTATGATTTCGTGTTTCAAGTTTTATCATATCCGGAATGTTTAATAGACTCTTGTTCGGACAGATTTCAGTGAGTTATTCCTAAAAAATTACAGCCTACAATTAAAAACTACATATTTCCATGCAAAAAAATGGTACCGCTTTCAGCACAAAATTCCTGACATGATCATACCGCCAGGGAGGTTAAGGGTTAGTGACCGATGTGAATGTACAATATATATGTAAAGCACTGCGTAAATTGACAGCGCTATATAAGTACCTATAATAAATAATAAAATAAATAAAAATGGAGGGGAGGTAGGAGACACTGACAATGGAGAGTATAATACCTCTTCTATACAAAAATAGAGGTGAGAGGAGACACGGACAATGGAGAGTATAATACCTCTTCTATTACAAAAATAGAGGTGAGAGGAGACACGGGACAATGGAGAGTATAATACCTCTATTACAAAAATGGAGGGGAGATGGGAGACACGGGACAATGGAGAGTATAATACCTCTTCTATTATAAAAATGGAGGGGAGATAGGAGACACGGGACAATGGAGAGTATAATACCTCTTCTATTATAAAAATGGAGGGAGATAGGAGATACGGGACAATGGAGAGTATAATACCTCTATATAAAAATGGAGGGGAGATAGGAGACACGGGACAATGGAGAGTATAATACCTCTATTACAAAAATGGAGGGGAGATAGGAGACACGGGACAATGGAGAGTATAATACCTCTTCTATTATAAAATGGAGGGGAGATAGGAGACACGGGACAATGGAGAGTATAATACCTCTTCTATTATAAAAATGGAGGGGAGATAGGAGACACGGGACAATGGAGAGTATAATACCTCTTCTATTATAAAAATGGAGGGGAGATAGGAACGGGAAATGGAGGGAGGGAAGGTAGGAGACACAGGACAATGGAGAGTATAATACCTCTTCTATTAGATAAAAAATGGAGGGGAGATGGGAGACACGGGACAATGGAGAGTATAATACCTCTTCTATTATAAAAATGGAGGGGAGATAGGAGACACGGGACAATGGAGAGTATAATACCTCTATCACAAAAATGGAGGGGAGGTAGGAGACACGGGACAATGGAGAGTATAATACCTCTTCTATTATAAAAATGGAGTGGAGGTAGGAGACACGGGACAATGGAGAGTATAATACCTCTTCTATTATAAAAATGGAGGGGAGATAGGAGACACGGGACAATGGAGAGTATAATACCTCTTCTATTATAAAAATGGAGGGGAGATAGGAGACAAGGGACAATGGAGAGTATAATACCTCTATCACAAAAATGGAGGGGAGGTAGGAGACACGGGACAATGGAGAGTATAATACCTCTTCTATTATAAAAATGGAGGGGAGGTAGGAGACACGGGACAATGGAGAGTATAATACCTCTTCTATTATAAAAATGGAGGGGAGATATGAGACACGGGACAATGGAGAGTATAATACCTCTTCTATTATAAAAATGGAGGGGAGATAGGAGACACGGGACAATGGAGAGTATAATACCTCTTCTATTATAAAAATGGAGGGGAGATAGGAGATACGGGACAATGGAGAGTATAATACCTCTATATTATAAAAATGGAGGGAAGGTAGGAGACACGGGACAATGGAGAGTATAATACCTCTTCTATTATAAAAATGGAGGGGAGGTAGGAGACACAGGACAATGGAGAGTATAATACCTCTTCTATTAGAAAAAAATGGAGGGCAGATAGGAGACAAGGAACAATGGAGAGTATAATACCTCTTCTATTAGAAAAAAAAGGAGGGCAGATAGGAGACATAGGACAATGGAGAGTATAATACCTCTTCTATTATAAAAATGGAGGTGAGAGCAGACGGGACAATGGAGAGTATAATACCTCTTCTATTATAAAAATGGAGGGGAGATAGGAGACACGGGACAATGGAGAGTATAATACCTCTATTACAAAAATGGAGGGGAGGTAGGAGACACGGGACAATGGAGAGTATAATACCTCTTCTATTATAAAAATGGAGGGGAGGTAGGAGACACGGGACAATGGACAGTATAATACCTCTTCTATTATAAAAAATGGAGGGGAGGTAGGAGACACGGGACAATGGAGAGTATAATACCTCTTCTATTATAAAAATGGAGGGGAGATAGGAGACACAGGACAATGGGGAGTATAATACCTCTTCTATTATAAAAATGGAGGGGAGATAGGAGACAAGGGACAATGGAGAGTATAATACCTCTATTACAAAAATGGAGGGGAGGTAGGAGACAATGGACAATGGGGAGTATAATACCTCTTCTATTATAAAAATGGAGGGGAATAGGAGACAAGGGACAATGGAGAGTATAATACCTCTATTACAAAAATGGAGGGGAGGTAGGAGACACGGGACAATGGAGAGTATAATACCTCTTCTATTACAAAAATGGAGGGGAGGTAGGAGACACGGGACAATGGAGAGTATAATACCTCTTCTATTACAAAAATGGAGGGGAGGTAGGAGACACGGGACAATGGAGAGTATAATACCTCTTCTATTACAAAAATGGAGGGGAGGTAGGAGACATGGAACTCCTGAGAGATGAGTGGAATTCCTCCTCCATTACAGAGAACAAAGGAGAAGAAGGAGACATTACAGAAAATGGAGAAGTAGGAAAAACTGGAGACTGAAGTAAAATACCTCTATTACAGAGAACAGAGGAGAAGAAAGGACGATGGACTCCAGAGAGGGAAGCATAATACCTCTTCTATTACAGATAGAGGAGAAATAGGTGACACCGGACAACAGGGAACAGAGGGGAGGGTAGGAGACCTGGGGCATCAGGGAGGGGAGTATAATATACTTCTTCTATAACAAGGAATGGAGGGGAAGAAGAAGACACAGGACATCGGAGACAGGCGCATAATATCTCTCCTTTTACAAAGAAAAGTGAGATAGGGAACATGGGACACAAGAGAGGCGTATAATACTACTATTACAGAGGACGGAGGGGAGATAGGAGACATGAGACACTGGAGAGGGGTGTATAATACCTCTTCTATTACAGGAACAAAGGGATGGTAGGAGATTATAGATACCGAAAAGGGAAGTATAGTACCTCTTCCATTACAGAGAACAAAGGGAAGGTAGTAGACATGAGGCACCAGAGAGGTGAGTTCAATTCCTCTTCTATTACAGGGAAAGGAGGGGAGGAACAAGACACAGGACACTGGAGAGGGGACTACAATACCTCTTCTATTACAGGGAAAGGAGGGGAGGTACAAGACACAGGACACTGGAGAGGGGACTACAATACCTCTTCTATTACAGGGAAAGGAGGGGAGGTACAAGACACAGGACACTGGAGAGGGGACTACAATACCTCTTCTATTACAGGGAAAGGAGGGGAGGTACAAGACACAGGACACTGGAGAGGGGACTACAATACCTCTTCTATTACAGGGAAAGGAGGGGAGGTACAAGACACAGGACACTGGAGAGGGGACTACAATGCCTCTTCTATTACAGGGAAAGGAGGGGAGATACAAGACACAGGACAGAAGAGGGGACTACAATACCTCTTCCATTACAGGGAAAGGAGGGGGGGTACAAGACACAGGACACTGGAGAGGGGACTACAATACCTCTTCTATTACAGGGAAAGGAGGGGGAGTACAAGACACAGGACACTGGAGAGGGGACTACAATACCTCTTCTATTACAGGGAAAGGAGGGGAGGTACAAGACACAGGACACTGGAGAGGGGACTACAATACCTCTTCTATTACAGGGAAAGGAGGGGAGGTACAAGACACAGGACACCGGAGAGGGGACTACAATACCTCTTCTATTACAGGGAAAGGAGGGGGAGTACAAGACACAGGACACTGGAGAGGGGACTACAATACCTCTTCTATTACAGAACGGAGAGGTAAGAAACACAGGACAACAGGTAGGCAAGTATGTCAAATAGGCAGAAGATGGCATCAAAGCACTCACCTCTGCACAGCCATCGCCACCTGCTTGTCGGAGAAGCCCAGCTGTTTGGCGCGGAGAAGTACATCCCGGGTCATGGTGGTCTTGTCCTGGCAGGACTCCAATGTGGAAACGTGGTCGGTGATGTTCTTCATTTTGTGGAGGAACCAGCGGTCGATCTTCGTTAGTTCGTACAGGCGTTCGATGGTGTATCCTGCCCGCAGCGCTGCTGCCAGCACAAATATCCGCTTGTCCGTGGGGGTCTCCAGCTCCTGAAGGACATAGACAGCAATTAAGTCGCCACTAGAATATAAGATAAATGCAATCAAATAAGAGCAGCAGGTATTTTCATTGGACTATATACCTTTTAGCACTGCACTTTTTATATATATATTTATATATATATATATATATATATATATATATATATATATATATATATATATATATATATATATATAAAGTGCAGTGCTAAAAGGTATATAGTCCAATGAAAATTCTCCAATAAAATGTTATGATCAATATACACTCCAGTCCAGATAAAAGTAATGTATGTAAAATTTAAATAAAGTAAAATAAATTAATGCATTTTAATAAAATGGTGACAGTTTGTGACAAGTGATTCAATACAGGGGTTGTCTGTGACTTCTCGATTCAGTGGTCTGGCGAAAAATAGTGAAAATATGCACTCACCAGATGCGTATTTTTAATATGGCCCCTTTAACGCGTTTCGTGCAATAGCACTTCATCAGAAAGGCATGGCCATCACGCCAGTGCCGTGCGTCATGCATTTATATAGTAACCACAATCATTGACAGTCCTAGCAAACGTGAAGACGCCCCGCGCATGCACAGTGTGACCTAATGTCATCATCCTAGCTGTCTACCTAATATTCCAAAAGGCCAGTTCATGCGTATTAGATGAAATTGCACAGACCTGGATACTTTCCATACCCAGGCTAACACTTTAAAATTACGGTTTATGGAAAAGGGCTATGAAGAGACTACACTAAACAAACTCCATGGAACAAGTAGCCAATATGAATAGAGAGGACATACTTAAACCAAATCCTAAAAAAAAAAGAGCGGAAAATTTTTTTTTTTTTTTTTGTTTTGCCCATTTATAACAACGTTTTTGATTCAGCATAAAGCCATTTTTTTTTCCAGGTCTTCATTCAGAAGAACTGGAATGTTCTGAAAGCTGACCTAGTTCTAACACATTATACCAAAGAAACCTGAGGTGATTTATAGAAAAGCTAATACCCTGAGAAATCAGCTAGCCCTGAATGTATCAGACCCGCCTACACCCATATCACTTTTTACTAATTTTTTTTTTTTTTTTTTTTGCCCTGCAATAGATGCGTCATCTTTTTTTGTTGTAATGTCACTAGGAAAACAAAAATACATTCTTTTGCATCTCAGATTACGGGTAGGACCTATAATATAAATAGCTTCATAAACTGCAATAGCCGATATGTGGTCTATCTCCTAGAGTGCCCCTGTGAGAAACAGTACGTTGGACGTACAAGGAGACTGAAAGACCGCTTGAGGGAGCACGTGTATAATATTAAAAAGGGCTTCAAGGAGTACTCACTCTCTAGGCATTATAGGTAACACCATGACAGAGACCCCACTTCTCTTAAATTTGTGGGAATAGACATTATCATGTCCCACTGGCGAGGTACCCATAAGAAAAGATCTGTATTCCCAGGCAGAAACAAAGTGGATTTTTGAAATAGATTGTCTATATCCCAAAGGTCTTAATAAAGATATAGACTTGAATTTTTTTTTGATAATAGTTGATAATTTTAGTTGCCTTTTTACTTCCTGGTATTAGCTTTTACATAAAAAAACTTTTATATCTGATTTCTTGTATTTTTTACACATTTTTAGATGTTCTTATTTATCATGTCCTCCTCCCTACAATTTTATATATTTTTTTATATTTTTTTTTATACAATTTTATATATGTATATATAGATTATATTTTATAATATATCATTTTATATTATTAACCACTTGCCGCCCAGCCACTGTAGATATACGGCAGGGCGGCACTGGCAAGGCAAAACCACGTTTTAAAACGTGTGTTTTGTAAACAAATAGGGGGCGCGCGCGAGGCAACCCGCACCCTATCTGTCCCGCCGATCACCGCCGCGGATGTCAGTCGCCAGGTCACAGCCGGTCCTTAGTGGCTGTTTCCCGGCGATCGGCGGTAAACAGTGACAGAGAGCACAGCTGCAGTAGCTGTGCTGTCTGTCACTTCCTTGTCAGCTCGAGGACGAGCTGATTGAGACAGAAGAGAGTTTTCTCTCTCTTGATCAGCGGTGTCCCGTCCAGCACACACCCCGCCCCCTAGTAAAACACTCCCCTCACTCAGATAACCCTTCCCTGCAAAATAAAGTTAACCCCTTCCTCCCCATTGCCATTAGTACAGTGTCAGTGTTTTTTTTTTTTGCATTTTTCACTGTATTAGTGTTTTTGGGGATGTCAGTGAGCCCAAGTCAGTTTTTTTTGTCAGAATGTCCGCCGCAGTCCCGCCATTTTTTCGCTGATCGCTGCCATAAGTCCCTGATCGCCGCCATAATTCGCTTTCGCCGCCATTATTTTTATAAAAAAAAAAACTAAAAATCCCAGTATCTTTCCCGCCATTTGTAAACGCTATAACTTTCACGTAAACCAATTCATTTACACATATTGGGTTTTTTTTTTAGCAAAGACATGTCGCAGAATTTTTTTTTGGCAGAAATTTATGACTTTTTTTGATTTTTGCATTTTTTTTTTTTGGACATTTTTTATAGCAAAAAGTCCAAAATATTTTTTTTTTTTTTCCTCAAAATTGTCAGCCTTTTTTTTTATAGCACAAAAAATAAAAACCGCACAGGCGATCAAATACCACTGAAAGAAAGCTCAATTTGTGGGGAAAAAAAGCGCTGTATAGCAGAAAAATGGCGTAAGTTGCAGTATTTATACCATAGTTTGTAGACGCTATAACTTCCACACAAAGCAATCAATATACACTCATTTTTTTTTTTTTTTTTTTTTACCAAAAACATGGAGCAGAATACATTTTGGCCTAAATTTATAACCAACTTTGAGTTTACTATATATTTTTTATAGCTGAAAGTAAAAAATATTTTTTTCTTTTTTTTTTTTTTGGCCTTTTTTTTTTTTTATAGCGTGAAAAAATAAAAAGCGCACAGATGATCAAATACCACCGAAAGAAAGCTCTTTTTGTGTGAAAAAAAGGACATAAATTTCGTTTGGGTGCAGCATTGCATGACCGCGCAATTGTCAGTTGAGTTTTTTAGTGCAGCGCCGAGTAGCAAAAAGAGGCCTGGTCATTAAGGGGGGTAAATCCTCTGGAAGGCAAGTGGTTAACACAACATATATTCCCATCTTGTATACTTTTTTTTTTTTTATTGATTTTTTTTTAATATATATGAGATTCTCTTAATTTTTTTATATTGATTCTTCTTTATATTGATTTATGATTATTAATATATTATTTTTATGATTATTTTATGTATTTTTGTATGTGTTACCCATATTATTTTGTATTTTTTTTTGGTACATACATTTTGATTTTTTATTCCACAATATACATTATATAGGATATAATTTTTTTTACACTATGTATCCCCCATTTGGGAATTAAGCCAATTGTGAATATGTGTGCATTTTTTATCTATATATGCATTTAAATTTTTTGGTGGGTCACTCCATCCTATACTGAATAGTTTTTTCTGTCCCACAGTTTAATCATCTTAATAATACCTCATCCTGTGTGCTTCCGACTTAGACCATTTTATTTTTTTGGCGACTGCACATGAGCACAAGGCTGCCTTCACTTACTATTTTTTTTTATTTTTTACAATGGGCCTGTTTTGCCCTTCTATTATTTTTTTGCATTTCCCATGGTGAGATTGGCTCACTTCTTTTTTTTATTTTTTCAGGTTCCCCCTTACTCTTTTTTTTTTAATACGAGCGCAGCTGTTTTTCACTGCCTCGTACAGTGTTTTCTACGTTTTTACCGGACTACTTTGGTGCGGCCAGCCATCTCCGGACTCCGGCAAGATGGCGCGGTCACACTTTTTTTGTCTTCTTTTTTTGCTAGGACTGTCAATGATTGTCATTACAAAACACTATATAAATGCATGACGCACGGCACTTTTGATGGCCATGCCTTTCTGATGAAGTGCTATTTTTTTTTTTTTTTTTGCACGCCGTGACGTCCATTGCACATTGGTTTTTTTAATTTTTTTTTACTTTTTTTTTATTACTTTTGAATTAATTACCATGTTTTTTAATAAATTTTCAATTTTTTTTTTTTACTTTTTTTTTTTTATGGGCTTTTTCTTGCTGTTCCTTGGTTTTTTTTTTAAACATCCATTCCAGAACCCAAGCATTTTTTCTGTGATTTTGACACCACTCCTTTTTTTGACGCACGCCCTGATGTAAGCTTTTACCCTGTCCATTTTAGAGGGAGACAACGTTTTTTTTTTGCTCTATACCCAGAGGAAGGAGAGTCCGCTTTTTTTTTTTTTTTCGTCCATCCCATTCCATGAGGGGACCTCTTTTTTATTACATTTTTTTTTTAATAATATGCATCTGGTGAGTGCATTTTTTTACTATTTTTTTTTTTTTTTTTTTTTTTTTTTTTTTTTTTTTTTTTTTTTTTTTTTTTTTTTTTTTTTTTTTTTTTTTTTTTTTTTTTTTTTTTTTTTTTTTTTTTTTTTTTTTTTTTTTTTTTTTTTTTTTTTTTTTTTTTTTTTTTTTTTTTTTTTTTTTTTTTTTTTTTTTTTTTTTTTTTTTTTTTTTTTTTTTTTTTTTTTTTTTTTTTTTTTTTTTTTTTTTTTTTTTTTTTTTTTTTTTTTTTTTTTTTTTTTTTTTTTTTTTTTTTTTTTTTTTTTTTTTTTTTTTTTTTTTTTTTTTTTTTTTTTTTTTTTTTTTTTTTTTTTTTTTTTTTTTTTTTTTTTTTTTTTTTTTTTTTTTTTTTTTTTTTTTTTTTTTTTTTTTTTTTTTTTTTTTTTTTTTTTTTTTTTTTTTTTTTTTTTTTTTTTTTTTTTTTTTTTTTTTTTTTTTTTTTTTTTTTTTTTTTTTTTTTTTTTTTTTTTTTTTTTTTTTTTTTTTTTTTTTTTTTTTTTTTTTTTTTTTTTTTTTTTTTTTTTTTTTTTTTTTTTTTTTTTTTTTTTTTTTTTTTTTTTTTTTTTTTTTTTTTTTTTTTTTTTTTTTTTTTTTTTTTTTTTTTTTTTTTTTTTTTTTTTTTTTTTTTTTTTTTTTTTTTTTTTTTTTTTTTTTTTTTTTTTTTTTTTTTTTTTTTTTTTTTTTTTTTTTTTTTTTTTTTTTTTTTTTTTTTTTTTTTTTTTTTTTTTTTTTTTTTTTTTTTTTTTTTTTTTTTTTTTTTTTTTTTTTTTTTTTTTTTTTTTTTTTTTTTTTTTTTTTTTTTTTTTTTTTTTTTTTTTTTTTTTTTTTTTTTTTTTTTTTTTTTTTTTTTTTTTTTTTTTTTTTTTTATTTTTTTTTTTTTTTTTTTTTTTTTTTTTTTTTTTTTTTCAAGAAAGCACCACGTGACGTCAGAAGCCTGATTATCTTTCCAGGTCAGAGAAGAAAGGAAAACAGAGGATTAACATGACAGTTACTTGACTTGCATATAAGGAGGTTGACAGATGGTGGCCATTGTAGGTAGATTCGTTTCTGAGGGTTGCGGCCAAATGCACAGGAAGTGACAGTTCTCAAAACAACATCAACCCAACCCAAGGGCGGACTGACCATTTAGGCACTCGGGCACTGCCCGAGGACAGGGGTCAGTAGGTGGGCCCATTAGATGCCCCTGATATCTTTCATAGGGATTTTTTGGGTGTGGTTTGAATGTGGGCAAGGACACAGTGGCCCCATGATTTCCTATTGCCCGGGGGCCCATGAGTTGTCAGTCCGCCCCTGACCCAACCTATGTACTCACCAACACTCTTCATGGAGCTGCCAATCTTGGTGCTGACTCGCAGGAATTTGCTAAGATCCCAGCGGGGGACTTTCACCACGCAGTAATCCAAGCTGGGTTCAAAGTTAGCTGTAGTGGAGTTGGTGACCGAGTTCCTACAAAAGAACGACGGAGAGAAACAAGACTAAGATCTCAAGTCTGACTTTGGAAAATACAAGCTTGCCTGGTTGTTCAGGGCCAGTGACTGAATTAACTACTTTAATTTGGTACATTGGCTGGTGGACACCAACCTAAACATGAAGGTTCAGTTGGCAGAAGCAGGGGGCACTGTAGGAGTAAACCGGAATGGCTACTGGAACAATAGGACGAGGTTCAGGGAAAATAACCAGAAGTTGCTGAAGCTTGAATGTCCCGACCAAATATCCCAGTCATGACTACAACAACCGATCATGACTACTTTGATTATTCTGACAACAAGATCTGAACTAGGAATGTGCACAGATGAGCATTTTTATATCTCTCCTGTTAAAGCCTTTAAGGCAGAGGAAAATGTGCTTGAGAATTTAAGAAAAAGGGGTATTGTGGTCATGCGGTGGATTTACAGCAGCACCCATACTCAAGATTAACGAGAGAGCTAGCAGAAAAAAACATACCTGAGAACTGGAAGAGGGATTCCCAATGCCAGTTTGGCCGCCACATATGCCAGGGGATATCCGGTGGCCTTGCTTGCCAGGGCGGAGCTGCGGGGAGAGCCGCGCATTTACCTCGATGATGTAATACTGTGGAAAACAGAATAAGAACCGGTGACACACCAACACTAAAAAAGTGAGGTTCCATGTGGACTCAGACCAGAGAAGACTCTACAATGCACCTGATCGCAACACAATGTTGGAAGAAGAAAACTTGCCCTGATTGCTACAGCCACCTCCAGTGTTGGGTCTTGTGCACGATTCCACTTCCCCCCCCCCCCCCCCCCCACTATCCCTAAAGAACACTCGGGCCGCCTAGGCCAGTCCTTTACCTGCTCAGACTGCGGGTTCAGCGCATACTGGATGTTACACTCTCCCACGATGCCCAGGTGCTGGATCACCTTGATGGCAGTGTTGCGTAGCATGTTGTACTCGTGGTCGTTCAGTGTCTGGCTGGGCGCCACCACTATGGACTCTCCGGTGTGGATACCTAGAGGGTCCACGTTCTCCATGTTACACACCTGGGGGCAGAGAGCAAGAGACTGAGCCTTAGTTCTGAAACCTACCAATCCAAAGCTCCACATTAGCTCTAGTGAGTTCGGTGAAGTTCAGAGGTCAGCTTACCGTTACGCAGTTGTTGTAGGCGTCTCTCACCACCTCATACTCAATCTCCTTCCATCCCTTCAGCGATTTGTCCACCAGGACCTGCGTTGTGTGGGCAAAGGCTTGGCACACCAGGGAAGTCAGCTCCTCTTTTGTGTTGGCAAAACCAGAGCCCAGTCCACCCAGTGCGTAGGCCGAACGTACCAAGACCGGGTACCCCAGACGGTCTGCGGCAGCCTGAGCCTAATAGGGGAAGGAGGGAAAAAGTCATTAAAAGTGATCATTGGCCAGAGTCAAGTTCCTATCACCCAGCAAGAATACCTTGAGGATATTGGAGGCCTCCATAGTAGGACGGTCCCCTCCCCCCATTACGGAGAACTTCATTACCTGCTCTAGCGAGAAGGCAGCCTCACTTGGTGCCACATGTTCCCCAATCTCCTCCATCTTCTCCACGAAGATCTTCCGATCTTCCGTCATCTCAATGGACTTCACTGGGGTGCCCAGGACACGCACATTATACTTCACCAGCACCCCACGTTTCGTCAGCTCCACCCCGCAGTTCAGAGCTGTCTGACCGCCAAACGTCAGGAGAATGCCATCTGGCCTCTCGTTCTTTATTACCTGTAATGGAAGTAGAAAGGTCAGTGGTGATCAAAGGGAATATAGTCAGTACCCTGGTTTCTGACCACACCCACCTGTGTTACATACTCCGCCGTGATTGGAAGGAAGTACACCTTGTCCGCAAGCCCCTTGGAGGTCTGCACCGTGGCAATATTGGGGTTAATCAGCACCGTCTGGATGTTTTCCTCCTTCAGTGCTTTAATGGCCTAGACAGAGGGGAATTGTAGGATGTCAGGTCACAAGCAAATGGTGTAAAAAAAAAAAAAAAAAAAAAAAATCAAAATCACAAATTTATCATTAGAAGATGTGGATTTAGCACTGAAATATTCTATATCCCCACCCACCTCCAAACAGGGCACCCCAGGTCTGCAACCACCATCAACCAGGAACTACACTCTTAGATTTCCAGAACTAATCTGGAACCCCCAGCTTTTCAACCACTGCCAACCAAAAGGTGCCCCCACTGCTTTTACAACTGGGGCATTCCAGGTCTGCAGGCACCACCAACCAGCGTGCCTTCCATAGTGTCCCCCGGCACTACAACTGTCTGTCAGGGTGTCCCAACACAGCACTCACTGGCCCACTTCTCAGTGCACGCTGGTTCTGCAACTATCACCAAACATGGCACCCCAGCTATGCAACCAGGGTGTTCTCACTGGCTTTGCCACTACTGCCATCCCTGGTGCCCCCCAGCTCTGCAGCTACTGCACCTAACTAGTACGCCCTGGATCTGCAACTACTGCCAACCAGGGCACCCCAGTTCTGCGACCACCGCCAACCAGGATGCCCTGGTTCTGCAATCACAGCACCACAGCTCTGCACCCACCAACCCACATGGCCATGCAATCAACTAGGGCACTGTGTAGGTAAGAGGTGAACTAGGTAGATGTCTAACGTTCAACCATATACAGAGGGTTCCAGAGTACAATCATATTTAAGGGTCAAATGCAAAGTGCCCATCTCTCATCTTTTTCCTCTCAGATAGACCAGTCATCTCATCCACTTATTGTTATTGACCCCCTCACATCCGAATCTCCACCCACATCTTGGTGGCTAAATACTAAGTGTATAAATGTCCTCAATTTTCTCAGCTATGGACAACACAGAACATGGCAGTTAAGTTAAATTCCTCCCCTCCTTTTAAAACCAACACCCAAGGACAGGCTCATCCCAGCAAAGGTTTTTTGGGCATTGAAATCGATTGAACCTTCCTTACAGACACACATTTAATGAGAAGAAGCAATGGCAGCCTACAGGTCTATTTCAGGAAAGGTTTCCTGTTGGAAATGTTTCCTGTTGGATGGGATCCCGAATAGTCAAACTCCCCGGCCTGGCCAATAGAGAGTCCCCCAGAGCCCAGGATCAGCACTTTACGAGGTCTGCAGGAAATCAGCTCCGACTCCGTGGGAGAGTCCTTGTATGTGAGGAGATCATTCAGCCGCTGCTTCACTGAAGAGGAGAGCAGAAGACGGAATGCTGTAGTCAAAGTATCTGCTACCAATTGACCAACCACCCACTATGTTGGTGGTCCACTTTTTTCCACCATAATGGGCACTCACCTGTGACGACTTCAACTTTCCCAGCCTTCAACTCCCTCACAGTGTCCAAGAAGACGTCAAACAAACACACCAAGTCCATGGGGCCAGCACGATGCTCAGGGTGGAACTGCACACTGGAAGAACAAACCAGGAGACCGCCATAACAAATGTTCTGCTCAAGAAGGTTACATAACTACCACACGGGAAATTGCAAGATCTTCCAAACACTCCATCAGCAACCATTATAGAAAGAAGTTCCACCCACCTGAAGAACGGTTTGGAGTCATGAACGATGCCCTCGTTGGACTCATCATTGGCATTGGTGAAGAGTGGTGACCAGCATCTGGTAAGGTTTTGGGGTCGACGGCATAGCCATGATCTGAGAGGTGATGAAGCATCTCCGGGAGCCCTCATGGATACATGGCTGGTTGTGGCCTCGGTTCCCATACCTGTGTGGAAGAAAAGATCAGGTCTGAGAACAGTCCCATCTCAATGCCACCTCCAGGAACTGAAAAAAAGCATCTATTACCAGTTACCAGTACCTCTACATTACCCAAAATAACCCAAAGAACACACAAACCAAGTCCACCTATAACTAGATCTCCATCTGGGAAACATCGCCTGCCCTGCTACCAGAGTGGCAAGCTGCACTCTACATTACCCAGAAGAACCATAAAGCAGACAAACCAGACCCTTCTAAAACCAGACCTCCATCTGAGGAACACTGATTGCCCTCTATCATGGTAACATCAGCACTCTACATTAGCTAGAACCAGCAAGCAGCAGACATACCAGGTGTTCATATAACCTGACTCATTTGAAGAACATTAGCTACCCTCCTGCCAAGGTGCCACCTGCACTCTACATTACTTAGAATAACCATAGAGCAGGCAAACCATATCCTTGTTTAAAGCAGACCACCATCTGAAGAACATTCCCTATCTCCTGCCATAGTGGCATATACTCTACATTACCTAGCACAACCGTGGAGAAGACAAACCAGGGCCTTGAATTACCAGACCACCCTGTGAGCCTACTCTGCAGGAAAGGTGACACTTGCACTCTACATCATCCAGAATAACTTAAGAACAGACAAACCAGGCACTCATAAAATTAGACCTCCATCTGAAGAAAATCACCTTTCCCCTGCCATGGTGATGCCTGCACTCTACATTACCCAGAATAATCAAAGAGCAGACAAACCAGGTCCTTGTATAACCAAACCTCCATCTGAGGATAAATGCTTCCCCTCCTGCCATGGTGACCCCAGCCCTCTGCATAACCCAGAACAACCATAGGAGTAGACGAACCACGTCATCATAAACCCAGAAGCCCATCTGAAGCATCGATTGCCCTCCTGTCCCCATGCCACCTGCAGTCTACAATACCAAGAATAACCATACAGCAGATAAACCAGGTCCTTGTATCACCAAACCTCCATCTGAGGATAAATGCTTCCCCTCCTGCCATGGTGACCCCATCCCTCTACATAACCCAGAAAAACCATAGGAGTAGAAGAACCACGTCATCATATACCCAGAAGCCCATCTGAAGCATCGATTGCCCTCCTGTCCCCATGCCACCTGCAGTCTACAATACCAAGAATAACCATACAGCAGATAAACCAGGTGCTTGTATAACCAGAACCCCATCGCCTGGCTTGCTACTATGGTGACACTCACACTGTACATTACCCAATACAACTTTAAAGCAGGCAAACCAGGTCCTTGCATTACCAAACCACATCTGAAGAATATCATTTGGCCTCCTGCTATGGTGACACCCACACTTTACATTACCCATACTAGTGGTGCACCTAAATGAAAATTCTGGTGCTGAAACTGAAAATTCAACATGCACTTGGCCGAAAACCGAAACGCAGTTTTTTAAAAAAAAAATACACTAAGAAAAAAAAAACAATCTATACCCCAATTTTTGTGTAAAATATGAAGGAGGATGTTACAGCGAGTAAATAGATACCAAACATGTCACGCTTTAAAATTGCGCACGTTCGTGGAATGGCGTCAAAACTGCGATACTTAAAAATCTCCATGAGTGATGCTTTAAAAAGTCTACAGGTTAGCAGTGTAACATTACAGGTCTAGAGCTAGAATTTTTGCTCTTGCACCGACATTTGTGGCGGTACCTCACATGTGTGGCTTGAACACCATTTACATATGTGGGCGTGGCCTACCGTTTGATGGTTTTCTCAGGTAAGGCTGAGAGCTACCAATCAGCGGCAGGTGGCGGCAGCTCCGAGGGGTGTTTTTTTTTCGGTACCTGTATTGGTGCTTTTTTTTTACCCATATCGGCCAATAGGGGTGTTTTCGGCCTAAACTTTTCAGCCATCGAAATTTCAGTGCACCCCTACCCAATACAACTTATAGAGCAGACAAACCAGGCCCTGGTATCACCAGACATCTGAGGAACATTGTCTGTCCTGCTATGGTGATATCTGCACTTTACATTACCCAGAATAACCAAAGGAGCAGACAAACTAGGTCCTTGTATAACCAGAGCTACATCTGAGGAACAGTGCCTGCCCTCCTGTTATGGTACAACCAGCTCTACATAACCAGGAATATCCATAGAGCAGAAAAACCCAGAGCATTGTATAATAACCTGATGTCCACCTGAGGCATTGCCTATCCTTCCACCATGGTGCCAAACTGACACAACATTACCAAGAATAACCATAGAGCAAACAAACCAGGTGCTTGTATTACTAGGCTTCCATCTGAGGAACATTACCTGCCCTTCTGTCATGGTGCCACCTACGTTCAAACTTGCCAGGTGCTGATTCATCTCCACCTTACAAAAGTAGCTCTGGCACCACCACCATCACATACTGCCAATGTAGAGCCAATATCATGGCAAAGCATGTGCGTATCCTGTAAGCAACAGCAAGAGGCCTCCTCCACCACCACATCTACATGGGATCTTCAGCTTCCCCCAATGGGTCCCTTGACTTCAGTAAACATGACCACCAAAGTAATAAACTTAGGTTAAGATCCTTGACCAATTCCTATTCACATTTGTATACCCATTGGGGACACAAGTCAACAGGCCAGGAAGAAGTGAAGGTAAATCTTCCAATGGGGGTGAAGGTAAATCTTCCAATGGGGATAAAGGCAGCTAAAAAAAAAAAAAAAAACACAGACAATGGATCCAACCCTTCCATACATCCTGAAGGTCTTTGCATCAATGGCTGAATTTTGACTGAGGGGTCACAATGAGAGACTGAAAAGACCAACCATCAGGGAGCAATCAATGCGGCCTCCACCCCCCCCCCCCCCCCCCCCCCACAGTTCCTGCTCACTTCATCTTGTAGGTCTTGGCCTCGATGACCAGGACAAGAATCTGGTGCCCAAGACAGATCCCAAACACCGGCTTTGGTTGGTCTTCGTTCATGAAGCGTCGGATGTTCTGGACGGACTCCTGGCAGAAGAGCGGATCTCCAGGGCCATTACTGAGGAAGAGCCCATCGAAGTCTGATGAAAGAAAAATAGAGTGTGAAGGAAACAAAAAATGGCACTCACATCCCACTGAAACGTACAGAAAAGTGGCGCCTCCAAATCATCCATGATCTGCCTGAGCAGCACAGAGGATGTCAATGAGAGAGGACCCAGGGAAGGCAAAATGTAAGCAGATTAAGTTTTTAGCTTTTTTATCTTTATTTGCTGTCAGTGTCCTAATGGGGAGGTCACTTCTCTTTCTCTTTACTTCCTGCGCTGGGGACACAACAGGAAGTGAAGGCAAAATAGCTAGCACTGGAACAGGTGTCCCCAATGGGAGATTTCCCCTCTATTATGGTATACTTCAGAATTTCCAATGAATATTAGAACCAGGGGCGGACTGACCATTTGGAAACTCGGGCACTGCCTGAGGGCCCGGGGGTCAGAAGGGGGCACCATGAGATGCCCCTGGTACCTTTTTCATAGGCTTTTTTGAGTTTGGGCAAGGACACAGGGGCCCCGTGATCCCCTATTGCCCGGGGGCCCCATGAGTTGTCAGTCCGCCCCTGACCAGAACTTTTAGTAAAGGTAAATCTTCCCCACAGGGACACAATGATCAATCCCAGACCGGTTTTAACCCTTCCCTGCTCCATCCAAAAGAAGTGTGCTGACTTTAGGTGCACCAAGTACTTTGTGTGTTGGTTGTCTTGCTGGCTTCTCTCTGGGCTTGGTATGACATTTCCTCCTCACTCGAATTCTAGCTCCTGTCTGCAAGGAAATGTACAATATAGACAACAGGAAACAAGATAACACCTCTTATATTTCTGGTTTTCTTGTAAGACACACTGAGTGGCGTGAAGGATCGTGATCAGGGAGGACATCAACTTAAAATCCATATCCTGTCATCACACTGGAGACCAAAGGTTCATGATCAGGGAGGACATCATCAGTCTGATGAAAGGGATATGGATTTTAAGTTGATGCCTACCCTGATCATGAACCCTTCTGGTCTCCAGTGTGTGATGACAGGATATGGATTTTAAGTTGGAGAACAGAGTTCGTGATCAGGGAGGACATCAACATCAACTTAAAATCCATATCCTGTCATCACACTGGAGACCAGAAGGTTCATGGTCAGGGAGGACATCATCAGTGTGATGACAGGATATGGATTTTAAGTTGATGCCCACCCTGATCATGAACCTTCTGGTCTCCAGTGTGATGACAGGATATGGATTTTAAGCTGGAGAACAGAGAGTTTGTGATCAGGGAGGACATCAACTTAAAATCCATATCCTGTCATCACACTGATGGAAAACCACAAAGTTCGTGATCAGAAGGACATCAACTTAAAAAACCATATCCTGCCACTTTGATGAAGACCAGAAGGTTTGTGATCAGGGAGGACGTCAACTTCAAATCCATATCCTGTCATCACACTGATGGAAACCACAAAGTTCGTGATCAGGAAGGACATCAACTTAAAAACCATATCCTGCCACATTGATGAAGACCAGAAGGTTTGTGATCAGGGAGGACGTCAACTTCAAATCCATATCCTGTCATCACATTGATGGAGACCAGAAGGTTCGTGATCAGGGAGGACGTCAACTTCAAATCCATATCCTGTCACCACATTGATGGAGACCAGAAGGTTTGTGATCAGGGAGGACGTCAACTTCAAATCCATATCCTGGTCATCACACTGATGGAGAACAGAAGGTTTGTGATCAGGGAGGACGTCAACTTAAAATCCATATCCTGTCATCACATTGGAGACCCAGAAGGTTTGTGATCAGGGAGGACGTCAACTTAAAATCCATATCCTGTCATCACACTGGAGACCAGAAGATTTGTGATCAGGGAGGATGTCAACTTACAATCCATATCCTGTCACATTGATGGAGACCTAAAGGTTTGTGATCAGGGAGGACGTCAACTTAAAATCCATATCCTGTCATCACACTGGAGACCAGAAGGTTCATGATCGGGGAGGACATCATCAGTGTGATGACAGGATATGGATTTTAAGTTGATGCCCACCCTGATCATGAACCTTCTGGTCTCCAGTGTGATGACAGGATATGGATTTTAAGTTGGAGAAACAGGAGAGTTCGTGATCAGGGAGGACATCAACTTAAAAACCATATCCTGCCACATTGATGAAGACCAGAAGGTTTGTGATCAGGGAGGACGTCAATGTAAAATCCATATCCTGTCATTACATCGATGGAGACCAGAAGGTTCTTGATCAGGAGGATGTCAACTTCAAATCCATATCCTGTCATCACACTGGAGACCAGAAGGTTTGTGGTCAGGGAGGACATCACAGTGTCAACAGGATATAAAATCCTGATAAGAACAGAACCCTGTCATGACACATAAAAATCCATAATCCTTCATTTTAATGGAGAACCAGAAGGTTTGTGATCAGGGAGGACGTCAACTTAAAAATCCATATCCTGTCATCACACTGGAGACCAGAAGATTTGTGATCAGGAGGACATCAACTTACAATCCATATCCTGTCACATTGATGAAGACCTGAAGGTTTGTGATCAGGGAGGACGACGTCAACTTCAAATCCATATCCTGTCATCACACTGGAGACCAGAAGATTTGTGATCAGGGAGGACGTCAACTTAAAATCCATATCCTGTCATCACATTGATGGAGACCAGAAGGTTTGTGATCAGGGAGGATGTCAACTTCAAATCCATATCCTGTCATCATACTGATGGAGACCAGAAGATTTGTGATCAGGGAGGACGTCAACTTAAAATCCATATCCTGTCATCACATTGATGGAGACCAGAAGGTTCGTGATCAGGGAGGACGTCAACTTCAAATCCATATCCTGTCATCACACTGGAGACCAGAAGATTTGTGATCAGGGAGGACGTCAACTTACAATCCATATCTTGTCACATTGCTGGAGACCTGAAGGTTTGTGATCAGGGAGGACGTCAACTTAAAATCCATATCCTGTCATCACACTGAATGGAGACCAGATTAGTAGTGAAACAAACTGCCTGCGTATCGCTGTATCCCTATGTGCTGTGTATTGTCCATCTGCCGCGCATGTACGGCATTCTAGCCCCCTCATGTGCCGCGCATGTATGACATTGTATTCACACACCCCCATGTGCAGCGCACGTACGGCAATGTATTCACACATGTACGGCACTCAACCCCCCCCATGTGCCACGCACGTATGGCATTTTATACCCCCCCCCCCTCATGTGCCACGCACGTATGGCATTTTACCCCCCCCCCCTCATGTGCCACGCAGGTACGGCATTGTATACACACACACGTAAGGCATTGTGTGCCCTCCATGTGCCACGCACGTACGGCATTGAATACACACACACGTATTGTGTGGCATTGTGTGCCCATGCACGTACGGCATTGTATGCCATACCCCCCTCATGATGTGCCGCGCACGTACGGCATTCTACCCCCCTCATGTGCCAGGACGTCAACGTACGACATTGTATCACACGTACACCCTCATGTGCGCGCGCACGTACGGCATTCTAAACCCCCCCCCCCCGTCGGTGTGCCGCGCGCGTACGGCATTCTACCCCCCCCCCTCCCCGCTCGTGTGCCGCGCGCGTACGGCATTCTATACCCCCCCCCTCCCCGCTCGTGTGCCGCGCGCGTACGGCATTCTACCCCCCCCCCCCCGCTCGTGTGCCGCGCGCGTACGGCATTCTACCCCGCCCCCCCCTCACGTGTGCCGCGCGCGTACGGCATTCTACCCCCCCCCCCCCCTCGTGTGCCGCGCGCGTACGGCATTCTACCGATGGAACCCCCCCCCTCGTGTGCCGCGCGCGTACGGCATTCTACCCCCCCCCCCCTCGTGTGCCGCGCGCGTACGGCATTCTACCACCCCCCCCCCCCCCCTGTGTGCCGCGCGCGTACGGCATTCTACAACCCCCCCCCTCGTGTGCCGCGCGCGTACGGCATTCTACACCCCCCCCTCATCACGTGTGCCGCGCGCGTACGGCATTCTACAACCCCCCTCACGTCGTGTGCCGCGCGCGTACGGCATTCTACACCCCCCCTCACCCCCCCACGTGTGCGCGCGCACGGCATTCTACAACCCCCCTCACGTGCCGCGCGCGCACGGCATTCAACTACCCCCCCCCTCACGTGCCGCGCGCGCACGGCATTCTACAACCCCCTCCACGTGCACGCGCGCGTACACGCATTCCCCCCCCCCCCTCACGTGCCGCGCGCGCCACGGCATTCTACAACCCCCCCCCACCGTGCAGTGCCGCGCGCACGGCATTCTACAACCCCCCTCCGTGCCGCGCGCGCACGGCATTCTACTCCCCCCCCCCCCTCGTGCCGCGCGCGTACGGCATTCTACACACCCCCCCCCCCCTCACGTGCCGCGCGCGTACGGCATTCTACACACCCCCCCCCCCCCGCGCCCCCCCCCCCCCCCTCACGTGCCGCGCGCGTAACGGCATTCTTACGGCACCCCCCCCCACCACGTGCCGCGCGCGTACGGCATTCTACACCCCACCCCCCCTCACGTGCCGCGCGCGTACGGCATTCTACAACCACCCCCCCCTCACGTGCCGCGCGCGTACGGCATTCTACAAAAACCCCCCCCCCCTCACGTGCCGCGCGCGTACGGCATTCTATTCACCCCCCCCCCCTCACGTGTGCCCGCGCGCGTACGGCATTCTACACCACCCCCCCCCCCCCCCTCACGTGCCGCGCGCGTACGGCATTCTACACCCCCCCCCCCCTCACGTGCCGCGCGCGTACGGCATTCTACAACCCCCCCCCCTCACGTGCCGCGCGCGTACGGCATTCTACAACCCCCCCCCCTCACGTGCCGCGCGCGTACGGCATTTCTACCCCCCCCCCCCTCACGTGCCGCGCGCGTACGGCATCTCTAAACCCCCCCCCCCCTCACGTGCCGCGCGCGTACGGCATTCTACACCCCCCCCTCACGTGTCCGCGCGCGTACGGCATTCTACCCCCCCCCCCCCCCCCCCCCCTCACGTGCCGCGCGCGTACGGCATTCTAACACCCCCCCCCCCCCCCCCCCCCCTCCCCACGTGCCGCGCGCGTACGGCATTCTACACCCCCCTCCCCCCCCCCCCCGTGCCGCGCGCGCGTACGGCATTCTACCCCCCCCCCCCCCCCCCACGTGCCGCGCGCGTACGGCATTCTAACACCCCCCCCCCCCCTCACGTGCCGCGCGCGTACGGCATTCTACAAACCCCCCCCCCCCTCGTGTGCCGCGCGCGTACGCATATCTACCGGCATTCTACCCCCCCCCCTCGTGTGCCGCGCGCGTACGGCATTCTACCCACCCCCCCCCCCCCCGTGTGCCGCGCGCGCGTACGGCATTCTACACCCCCCCCCCCCCTCACGTGCCGCGCGCGTACGGCATTCTACACACCCCCCCCCCCTACCCTGCCCGTGTGCCGCGCGCGCGTACGGCATTCTAACACCCCCCCCCCCCCCCCCCACGTGTGCCGCGCGCGTACGGCATTCTACCCACCCCCCCCCTCCCCCTCGTGCCAGTGTGCCGCGCGCGTACGGGCATTCTACACCCCCCCCCCCCCCACGTGTGCCGCGCGCGCGCACGGCATTCTACAACCCCCCCCCCCGTGTGCCGCGCGCACGGCATTCTTCACCCCCCCCCCCCTCGTGCCGCGCGCGTACGGCATTCTACACCCCCCCCCCCTCACGTGCCGCGCGCGTACGGCATTCTACACACCCCCCCCCCCCCCACCTGCCGTGCGCGTACGGCATTCTACACCCACCAACCCCCCCCCCCTCACGTGCCGCGCGCGTACGGCATTCTACACCCCCCCCCCCCCCTCACGTGCCGCGCGCGCGTACGGCATTCTACACCCCCCCCCCCTCACGTGCCGCGCGCGTACGGCATTCTACACTCCCCCCCCCCTCACGTCCGCCGCGCGCGTACGGCATTCTATCACTACAGCCCCCCCCCCCCCCCCCCCTCACGTGCCGCGCGCGTACGGCATTCTACACAGCCCCCCCCCCCCCCCCTGCCCCCCCCCCACACGTGCGTGGCGCGCGTACGGCATTCTACAACCCCCCCCCCCCCCCCTCACGTGCCGCGCGCGTACGGCATTCTACACCCCCCCCCCCCTCACGTGCCGCGCGCGTACGGCATTCTACAACCCCCCCCCCCACGTGCCGCGCGCGTACGGCATTCTACACCCCCCCCCCCCTCACGTGCCGCGCGCGTACGGCATTCTACGCACCCCCCCCCCCCCCTCACGTGCCGCGCGCGTACGGCATTCTACACCCCCCCCCCCCCTCACGTGCCGCGCGCGTACGGCATTCTACCACCACCCCCCCCGTGTGCCCCGCGCACGGCATTCTACTGCCCCCAAACGGCAATCTACCACCCACCGCCGCGCGCATACAACGGCAATCTACAACCCCCCCCCCCTCACGTGCCGCGCGCGTACGGCATTCTACACCCCCCCCCTCACGTGCCGCGCGCATACGGCATTCTACACACCCCCCTCACGTGCCGCAGTCGTTACCTGCCCCTCACGTGCCGCGCGCGTACGGCATTCTTTCTACACAACACCCCCCCCCCCCCCTCACGTGCCCGCGCGCGTACGGCATTCTACACCACCCCCCCCCCCCCCCCTCACGTGCCGCGCGCGTACGGCATTCTACAACACCCCCCCCCCCCCCCCTCACGTGCCGCGCGCGTACGGCATTCTAACACCCCCCCCCCCCCCCCTCACGTGCCGCGCGCGTACGGCATTCTACACCCCCCCCCCCCCTCACCGTGCCGCGCGCGTACCCCCCCCCCCCTCACGTGTGCCGCGCGCGTACGGCATTCTACCTACCCCCCCCCCTCACGTGCCGCGCGCGCGTACGGCATTCTACACCACCCCCCCCCGTCACGTGCCGCGCGCGTACGGCATTCTACACCCCCCCCCCCCCCCTCAACGTGCCGCGCGCGTACGGCATTCTACACCCCCCCCCCTCACGTGCCGCGCGCGTACGGCATTCATTCTACACCCCCCCCCCCCCCCGTCCGCCCGCGCGCGTACGGCATTCTACACCCCCCCCCCCCCCTCCGTGTGCCGCGCGCGTACGGCATTCACACCCCCCCCCCCCCCCCCTCACGTGCCGCGCGCGGTACGGCATTCTACACACCCCCCCCCCCCCCCCCGTGTGCGCCGCGCGCGCGTACGGCATTCTACACACCCCCCCCCCCTCGTCCCGTGCCGCGCGCGTACGGCATTCTTCACTGCCGCCGCGCGTACACCACCCCCCCCCCCACGTGCCGCGCGCGTACGGCATTCTACACACACCCCCCCCCCCGTGTGCCGCGCGCGCGTACGGCATTCTACACACCCCCCCCCCCCCCCCAACGTGCCGCGCGCGTACGGCATTCTACACCCCCCCCCCCCCCCCCACGTGTGCCGCGCGCGTACGGCATTCTACACACCACCCCCCCCCCCCCGTGTGCCGCGCGCGTACGGCATTCTACACACACCCCCCCCCCCCCCTCACGTGCCGCGCGCGTACGGCATTCTACACACCCAGCACCCCCCCCCCCCCCCCCCCCCTCCCGTGTGCCGCGCGCGTACGGCATTCTACACCCACCCCCCCCCTGTGCCGCGCGCTCTACGGCATTCTACACCACAACCCCCCCCCCCCCCGTGTGCCGCGCGCGTACGGCATTCTACACAACCCCCCCCCCCCACGTGCCGCGCGCGTACGGCATTCTACACCACCCCCCCCCCCCCCGTGTGCCGCGCGCGTACGGCATTCTACACACACACCCCCCCCCCCCCCCCCCCCCACACCGCCCCCCCCCGTGTGCCGTACGTACGGCATTCTACACCACCCCCCCCCCCCGTGTGCCGCGCGCGCGTACGGCATTCTACACACACACCCCCCCCCCCCCCCGTGTGCCGCGCGCGTACGGCATTCTACACACACCCCCCCCCCCCCCCCTCACGTGTGCCGCGCGCGTACGGCATTCTACACACACCCCCCCCCCGTGTGCCGCGCGCGTACGGCATTCTACACACCACACCCCCCCCCTCCCTGTGCCGCGCGCGTACGGCATTCTACACACCCCGCCCCCCCCCCCCCACCTGCCGCGCGCGTACGGCATTTCTAAACCCCCCCCCCACCGTGTGCCGCGCGCGTACGGCATTCTACCCCCCCCCCCGTGTGCGTGTGCCGCGCGCGTACGGCATTCTACAAGCCCCCCCCCGTGTGCCGCGCGCGTACGCCATTCTACACACACCCCCCCCCCCCCCGTGTGCCGCGCGCGTACGGCATTCTACACACCACACCACCACCCCCCCCCCCCCCCGTACGGCATTCTAACACACACACCCCCCCCGTGTGCCGCGCGCGTACGGCATACACACACAACCACACACACACGCGCACACACACACACGGCACACAAACCCACACACACACACACACACGCACACACACGGCATTCTAAACCCCGTGTGCCGCGCGCGTACGGCATTCTAAACCCCGTGTGCCGCGCGCGTACGGCATTCTAAACCCCGTGTGCCGCGCGCGTACGGCATTCTAAACCCCGTGTGCCGCGCGCGTACGGCATTCTAAACCCCGTGCCCCCCCCCCGTGTGCCACGCGCGTACGGCATTCTAAACCCCGTGTGCCCCCCCCCCGTGTGCCACGCGCGTACGGCATTCTAAACCCCTAAACCCCGTGTGCCCCCCCCCCCCGTGTGCCACGCGCGTACAGCATTCTAAACGCAACCCCCCCCCCCCCCCCCCCCCGTGCCACGCGCGTACGGCATTCTAAACCAACCCCCCCCCCGTGTGCCGCATGCGTACGGCATGCTACGGCCTACCCCCCCCGTGTGCCGCGCGCGTACGGCATGCTACACAAACCCCATGTACGGCACATTGTACCCCGTGTGCCGCATTGTATCCCCCCCATGTGCCGCGCACAGTACAGCACATGTACACAGCATTGTATCCCCCCCATGTGCCGCGCACGTACAGCATTGTATCCCCCCCATGTGCCGCGCACGTACAGCATTGTATCCCCCCCATGTGCCGCGCACGTACAGCATTGTACCCGGTCATTACTGCTTGTAATTGGCTCTCCAATCATACATTTGCTCTCAGCACACAGGTCCTACATCCGAGTTCTAGTCAGGACACAGTAATACAGAATGTGGGACTTTAAAGGGACCCCCACCTTTGCAATATGTTACCCAGGTATTTAAGGTATAACATGCAACAGGCTGCAAATAGAACACTGCCATCCCCCTACAGCAGAGGTCACTTTTGAAATCGACATGAACAGAAATGTTAAAAAAAAAAAAAAAAGTTGGTATTTTTATTGGTTTCAATATTTATTTTTCTACCCCCCCGATTCTGCATGATGGGGTTCCGTTTCACAATCCAATCCAAAATGTTCCCCATGTGCCAACACACCACCGATAAGGTTTGTGACTGACCTAGAAACGCAGCGTGCCATCTCAGCAATCATCCGGTTGCGGTATAGACTGACTCACGTACTGTCACCACACGCCAAGATACGGGAGGGGAGACTTCCTGTCTGGTGCCGTGTAATCGAGCTGGCACAGAGCTTGCAGTGACCTTGGCACAGATCACCTTCCCCCCGCCTGTGCTGGAAAGAGATCAGAGACCTCACCATAGACCACCATACATCGGCTGGGGAACATCTAAGGGTGCAATCCCCATCAACCACACACAAGGCCGACAGATTGTATGACAGTGGGACTCCAGTGCACACGTGGAGCCAGTTTCCCTTACCTGCACTGCTGATCGAAGAGTCCCAGGGCAGTACGGTCACCTCGGCCCCTCTCTGGCACAAGCAGCGGATCTGGTTGTATTTCAGGCCGCAGTCCAGGGCGGCAATCTTCACGTCACCACCACGATTGAACAGTCGCGGTTCCTGGTTGGTCAGAGAGATCGGTTAGGTAAGCGTGTAACGCCACGACACATGGTGACCACAAGAGCTGCCACCAACCACACATAGAACATTGCATCAATCCTGTATCAAGTCTGGTGCTCATGCCACACAATGTGCTGCCAGGACCAAACACCGCACTGCCAGAGACCATAGGAGTGGGCTTTCCCAACAAAGGGACCCCCAGGGCCATACCAAGTCACCTACTCCCCTTATAACAGTGTGTTACTAGGACCAAACCCTTCCCTGCAAAGGCAGAGGCCATAGAACTGGGCTCTTCCACCCATTGCACCACCAAGGGCAGTACCAGGACAGCAACCATCTCCCTCATTCCCAAGAAGTCGTCCAAACACCTCCCTACAATGGCAGAGGCTACAAGACTGGGCTCTGCCTTTCAAGGTGCCTCCAGGTGCCACCCACAGCCCTCAACGTCCCGACAATATGGTTCCAGGCTCAATACACAATGGTAGGACAACTTGGCTGTCCCATCTAAAGTGACCATACACCATCCAAGGTGTTCCCTGTGTAATATCATGGCACCCTAAATGCCATAACCGTTCAATGCCAGGCCCACACAACTTACAGCAATGGCAGAGACCATAGCACTAGGTTCTCCTACCTCAGGGTGGTACTCATCTCACTCAGTCCTGCAACAGTGTGGCATGCCAAGCCCTAACACCTCTCTGCAATGGCAGGGGCCATAGAACTGGGCTGCCCCATCCAAGGTGCTCTCAGGGCACCACCCATCTCTATCAATGCCCTAACAGTGTGGTGCAAGGCTCAACACAATGGTAGGACAACTGGGCTGCCCCTTTTAAGGTGACAACAGACAATACAGGATGTCCCCAGTAAAATACCAAGCCCCCCTAAATGCCACAACTGTGCAATGCCAGAACCACATACCCAACAGCAATGGTATAGATCGTGGGACTGGGCTCTCTCATCCAAGATGCCCCCAAGGCAATACCAGGACACCAAGCATCCCCATCATTGCCAAAACAATGTGCTGCAGGCTCAACACACCTCACTACAAAGGCAGAGGGCATAGGACTAGGCTTTCCCATCCAAGGTGCTGCCAGGGAAGTGGCAAGGTGCCATTCTTCGCCCTCAATGCCACAACAGTGTGGTGTCAGGCTCATACAATGGCAGGACGACTGAGCTGCTCCTTCTAAAGGTGGCCATATACCATACAAGATGTCCACAATAAAATACCATGGTCCTCCTAAATGCCTCAACTGTGCAATGCCAGAACCACATACCAATGGTAGAGACCATGGGACTGGGCACTCATATCCAAGGAGCCCTCAGGGAAGCACCAGGACCGCACCCATCCCCCTCAATGCCAAAAAACAATGTGCTGCCAGTGTCAGCACACCTCACTGCAATGGCAGAAAGCGTAGAACTATGCTTTCCCATCCAAGGCTCCCCAGGGCAGTACCAAGGTGTCACCAATTTCCCTCAATGCCACAGTGTTGTGACAGGCCCAAACAACTCCCTGCAATGGCAGACACTATAGGACTGGGCACTACCACCCAAGGTGCCCCCAGGGCAGTACCAGGATAACACATTCATCCCCCCACCCCTGCTGAAACAGTGTGGTGACAGGTTCAAAACACCTCTCTAAGGAAGAGGCCAAAGAACTGGGCTATCCCATCCAAGGTGCCACCCATCGCCTTCAATGCCACAACAGTGTGGTGTGTCCAGCCCTAACACCTCTCTGCAATGTCAAAGGCCATAGGACTGGGCTGCCCCATCCAAAGTGCTCTCAGGGCAGTACGAAGGTACCACCCATCTATCAATGCCCCAAAAGTGTGGTACCAGGCTCAACACAATGGTAGGACAACTGAGCTGTCCCATCTAAGGTGACCATAGATTATACAAGATGTCCCCAGTGTAATACCATGGCCCCATAATTGCCACAACTGTGCAGGGCCCAGGCCCACACAACTCACTGCAATGGCAGAAACTGCAGAATTGGAGGACTGGGCTTTGCCATCCAAGATGCCCCCCCCCAAGGAAGTACCAAAGCAACACCTGTCCCACCTACTGTAGTTGCTAGGTACACCCAAGAACGATAGGATGACTGCACTCTCCCACTTAAGGTGAGCATAGACTGTACAAGGTTGCCCCACGTAGAGCCAGGGCACCCCCTAGAAAGCCACACAGTGAACTGCTAGGCCCAAAACACAGAATAACCAAGCTGATCACAGCCCAGGACACCACCCATCACCCTTGGGCTTGGAACGGCATGGACAAATACAAATCCTTCTGCAAAACATCTATTTATGTACTTCATCTGTGGATTTGGACTTTTGCCTGGTGCTCAGCTTTATTTTGCATTAACAGATTTCAGCATCATTTCCCCTATACCGCCCCCCCCCCCATGACACCCTAGTACTCGCCATGTGACACACACCTTAATGGACACCTCCTGCACCAGGTTCCTCTTGCCAGGATCCTCATAAGGAACATGGCCCTCATTTGAGCCTTGTGGGATAAGTTTGCCCAGCATGGTTCCCTTCTCCCGGATCTTCTTGGTGAGGGCCCGGGTGTCCACACCTGCAGAAAGAGGAAAAGGTCACAACGGAAAGCCAGCACACTGGCAATCGCACTAAAAGAGGACCTGCAGCTGTTCTAACCTCAGACAACCGCTGAGAAAATTGGAGCTCCCTATTAGTCTAAATATTCTGGAACTGAATAATGGAAACAGGGATCCAGTCTGTTAAAGCCGCTGTATAGTCCTTCCTGTTCTTTATTTCCTACTAGCAAATCAGGATGGTCTTCACACTTTGAAGCCAAGGACGGCAAGCAAGATCAGACTACAAAGCAACCACCCAAGATAAACTTGGATATTAAAGGCAACAGTTCTGTAGGTATGCAGGTTGCAGAACTTTTTATTGACGACGTTGCATAATAAAAACAAAGGTGGCACTTCCATACATAGGGAGATGCTCTGGTTTTCCTCGCAATTGCTAGTTGGGCTCCCTGCTGGGGAATTTCAATGCTCTAGTAAGGAATTGATGCCTCGTCCTTCAAACTAAATAAGTAGTTACCAGTTTGTCTTTTCATTTGGTCCTAGAGCACAGGTTTGTCAGATCGGAGGGACAATCCGAGTGGAAGGATTGGCAACTTCATCCTTACCTTGCAGGCCTGGGATCTCCTGTTCCTTCAGCCATTGGTCCAGCGATAGACTGCAGCTCCAGTGGCTGGGGTTGTTGGAGCACTCTCCTACGATAAGAGCCGAGGCGTGGATCTGAGCGGATTCAAACCACTGCAAGAAAAAGGAGAAGACGACAATAACTACATGTAGGTGTCTGGATGGGGGATGTAAGCAGCAGACAAACACATTGAAGGGGGGGGGGGTTGATGTACTACGAGAGGAGCCCTGAGAACATGAGGCGCCTGGAGCAGCTTTATCAACAGAACTATCATTCCTCAAAAAGACAGCCCCAGTTTCAGTTCATTCAGTCCCAACTGAACACTGCGCCAACACCTGAGCTGGGCAAAGTGGAAAAAAAAGCAGAGCACGGGTATAACTATGAGCATTCCACAGGTCAGGAGAATGAACTCTGTGACCTTACATTTTCAAAGACAAATACACCAAGGCAGTCTTATCCTGGGAACCCCAAGACCACCAAGACATCACCAGACAACCATTCCCCCACTAGAGGGATGAAAGCCGGGACATCCCCAGACAACCATGAAGGAAGAAAGCCGAGGCATCCCCAGACAACCATGAAGGAAGAAAGCCGGGACATCCCCAGACAACCATGAAGGAAGAAAGCCGAGGCATCCCCAGACAACCATGAAGGAAGAAAGCCGAGGCATCCCCAGACAACCATGAAGGAAGAAAGCCGAGGCATCCCCAGACAACCATGAAGGAAGAAAGCCGAGGCATCCCCAGACAACCATGAAGGAAGAAAGCCGAGGCATCCCCAGACAACCATGAAGGAAGAAAGCCGAGACATCCCCAGACAACCATGAAGGAAGAAAGCCGAGACATCCCCAGACAACCATGAAGGAAGAAAGCCGAGACATCCCCAGACAACCATGAAGGAAGAAAGCCGAGACATCCCCAGACAACCATGAAGGAAGAAAGCCGAGACAATCCCCAGACAACCATGAAGGAAGAAAGCCGAGACATCCCCAGACAACCATGAAAGAAGAAAGCCGAGACATCCCCAGACAACCAGAAGGAAGAAAGCCGAGACATCCCCAGACAACCATGAAGGAAGAAAGCCGAGACATCCCCAGACAACCATGAAGGAAGAAAGCCGAGACATCCCCAGACAACCATGAAGGAAGAAAGCCGAGACATCCCCAGACAACCATGAAGGAAGAAAGCCGAGACATCCCCAGACAACCATGAAGGAAGAAAGCCGAGACATCCCCAGACAACCATGAAAGAAGAAAGCCGAGACATCCCCAGACAACCATTCCCCCTCTAGAAGAAAGAAACCCGAGACATCCCCAGACAATCATGAAGGAGGAAACCCGAGACATCCCCAGACAACCATTCCCCCTCTAGAAGGAAGAAACCCGAGACATCCCCAGAACTCCATTCCCCTCTAGAAGGAAGAAACCCGAGACATCCCCAGAACACCATTCCCCTCTGGAAGGAAAAAACCCGAGACATCCCCAGACAACCATTCCCCCTCTAGAAGGAAGAAACCCGAGACATCCCCAGAAAACCATTCCGCCTCTAGAAGGAAGAAACCCGAGACATCCCCAGACAACCATGAAGGAAGAAACCCGAGACATTTCCAGACAACCATTCCCCCCTAGAAGGAAGAAACCCGAGACATCCCCAGACAACCATTCCCCCTCTAGAAGGAAGAAACCCGAGACATCCCCAGACAACCATCCCCCTCTGGAGGAGGAAACCCGAAACATCCCCAGACAACCATTTACCCCTCTAGAAGGAAGAAACCCGAGATATCCCCAGACAACCATCCCCCTCTGGAAGGAGAAAAACCTGGGACATCCCCAGACAATTTTACACCCAAAGATGAGACCCAGAACACCCCTAGACCTCCATCCCCATGAAAAGACCCAGGACACCTCCAGACAACCACTCTACAATAGAAGGAAGAATCCCATGACACCTCAAGAAAACCATCACACTTTAAAAAAGAAGCGACCAGGGACATCTCAGATCACCGTCTTCCTCAAGAAATAAGAGACCCGAGATACCTCAGACAACAACCATTTTTTTTTTTTTTTTTTTTTAGGAGGAAGAGATCCTAGGAGGAAGAGATCCTGTAGAAGAGATCTCCCTATAGAAGGAAGATATCCAAGAGACCCCGGGACAATCCTGCCCAATTAAGAAAAAAAAAAAAAAAAAAAAAAAAAAAACACAGGGACATCTCAGACCATCATCCTCCTCTACAAGGAAGAGACCTGAGACGCCCCAGACCACATCCCCTCTGGGGGAAGCAGATCCTGGATGTCCCAAGACCCCAAGACCACCAGTCCCCTTTAGAATAAAGAGAACCAAGACACCCCAAACCATCACCCCCCTCTAAGAGAAAGAGACCCTGGATGTCCCAAGACCACCATTCCCCGGCAGGCAGCAGACACCCAGGAGGAGAAGAGAGCAGTTTTAATATATTTTGCCCAGTTGGGATGATGCACCTTTAATCACCCAAGCAGGAGAAACTTAGAGCACAAGTTCTCCATCCGATAAGCAGGTGGCAGGCAGTTAGAGAATTCCCCAGAACTCCCACACTGCTGATGGCAGGACAATGAACACCATGACGTCACCGTGTGCAAGGACAGCGACACCAAGACGCGCGCTTATCCTGGGAAAGATGAGATTTCACCACACAATGTGCTCAAGGCCACATCAAGGAATTTCAAACACGAGACAGACTGCAGTGCAAAAAAAAAAAAAAAAAAAACCAGATGGAACTTTCTAAATTGGTAATTTTTTTTTTTAAGTCAGTCTTCTGCCAAAACAAATTTGGGTAAAGTGGGGAAGGTTTAAAGCTGGTCAGCTTCACATTCATTCTAGGTCAGTGATGGCGAACCCGTGGCACGCGTGCCACAGCCGGCACGCCGAGCCTTATCTGTGGGCACGCCAGGAGAATACCGTATTTTTTCGCTCCATAAACGCACTTTTTTTTTCCCCCAAAAAAGGGGGGAAAATGTCAGTGCGTCTTATGGAGCGAATATAAGAGCGGCCGGTCCGGTATTTCCACCGCCGCCGTGTCAGAATACCGGGCCGGCCGCTCAGCTCTGCAGTGGGACCTTACCTGTCCCTCTATCCAGCGGCGCGCTGTCTTCCCGGCTTCTGTAGTGTGCGTGACAGCCGGGTCCCAAGTGCGCATGCGCAAGAAGCAGTGCTCTTTGTGAATGGTAAGGCGGTACCTGGGACACATGACAGATCCCAGAAGCCGCCGGACCAATCACAAAGCGCAGCGCTTCTCGCGCATGCGCACTGGGCATCCGGCTGTCCGACGAGCGCCCACACTACAGAAGCCGGGAAGACAGCGCGCCGCTGGATAGAGGAACAGGTAAGATAAAACAAAAACTCTGCGGAAGTAAGAGCGGGTACCTGTCAAATTCAGGTACCCGCTCCCCCTCCCTCCCCAAAGGTCAGCAGTCATCTGTACTGTCCGCAGTCTCTGGTCATCCCTGTGTGCTGTGTCCGCAGTCTCTAGTCATCCCCTGTGCTGTGTCCGCAGTCTCTGGTCATCCCCTGTGCTGTGTCCGCAGTCTCTGGATCCCTGTACTGTGTCCGCAGTCTCTCTGTCATCCCTGTACTGTGTCCGCAGTCTCTGGTCATCCCTGTACTGTGTCCGCAGTCTCTGGTCATCCCTGTACTGTGTCCGCAGTCTCTGGTCATCCCTGTACTGTGTCCGCAGTCTCTGGTCATCCCTGTATTGTGTCCGCAGTCTCTGGTCATCCCTGTACTGTGTCCGCAGTCTCTGGTCATCCCTGTACTGTGTCCGCAGTCTCTGGTCATACTTCCTGCAGTCTCTGGTCATCTCCTGTACTGTGTCCGCAGTCTCTGGTCATCTCCTGTACTGTGTCCGCAGTCTCTGGTCATCTCCTGTACTGTGTCCGCAGTCTCTGGTCATCTCCTGTACTGTGTCCGCATCTCTGGTCATCTCCTGTACTGTGTCCGCAGTCTCTGGTCATCTCCTGTACTGTGTCCCGCAGTCTCTGGTCATCCCTGTACTGTGTCCGCAGTCTCTGGTCATCCCTGTACTGTGTCCGCAGTCTCTGGTCATCCCTGTACTGTGTCCGCAGTCTCTGGTCATCCCTGTACTGTGTCCGCAGTCTCTGGTCATCCCTGTACTGTGTCCGCAGTCTCTGGTCATCCCTGTACTGTGTCCGCAGTCTCTGGTCATCCCTGTACTGTGTCCGCAGTCTCTGGTCATCCCTGTACTGTGTCCGCAGTCTCTGGTCATCCCTGTACTGTGTCCGCAGTCTCTGGGTCATCCCTGTACTGTGTCCGCAGTCTCTGGTCATCCCTGTACTGTGTCCGCAGTCTCTGGTCATCCCTGT